AGCCTGCAGAGGGACGAAGCAGACACAGACTGATCAAACTCTGCTGTTTCCAAAACGTGTCATTTCCCTTTCACTGAGCGCATCTTTTTCCCCAAAGCTGAACGTAACACGTGGGCACCTGCACTGAGGTCAAATGTGTTAGATGCCAAGGCAAATCTCTCTCTCTGGCTTTCTTAGCAGCCACTCAGAGGAGAGATCTGGGGATCTGGGAAAAGCAGCTGCTGTGGCTCCAGCCTTCCAGAGGCTTCGTACCCAGTCCCCCTGCTAGCCGCACAGGCCATTCTCCTGGGGATGCTGAGGCACGCCGGCTGCCCAGCTTCTGCCACCCCATCAGGACTGGAGGGGAGGCCCAGGCGAGGGAGGCAGCATGCCAGGGAGCTTGAGGAGCTCCCCCGGCAGCAGCCTGCTCCCCGCCACGAGAGGCTGCAAGCGCAAGCAGACTGAAGAGCCAAAGCTCAACTTCGGTCTGGACTTACTCAGCCCAACGACACAAGTACAAATCGAGTACATTTGTTTTCAAACTGTCTGAAAACCTTTACAAACTTTCTTTTCCACAAGTTCTTCCCTGCCATTCTTCTCTTCCTCCTCCGAGGCCTTCCTCTTCTCCCCTTTCAGCTGGCTCCCTGCTGAGACCTGCTCGGCAGCGCTGGAGGCTGAAAGAGAAGAAAAGCACAGGGAGCTGAAGATCTCCAGCTCGGTTTTACTTACCAGATTTAGCACATCCTTCTGCACTGTAGCACTCCCCTCAGGAGCACGGACTCACTTCTCACACAGCATTAGGTGAGCAGAGTTACACCCATTTTGACCAACCAACCACAGAGGTGGGCACACGCCAGGCAGCGCATGGCTGCACCTAACCTGGCACACACTGAGCTGGGCTCCCCGCATCGTGCCGCCCTCCCCCAGGTAATGGTACAGCCCTGGCTGGCTGGCGGGCTGTTAGTTCTCCCCACCAAGCCTTTACTGCAGTTAATTGCTCAGGAAGTCAGCGTTCCAGCTCAGAGCGTTGCTCGCTGTTAATTATTACTGTTTGTTTCTATGAATCGTAGCCACAGCAACGCAAGGGAACGCGTTTTGTTACTCTGAAGGTGCGCGATGTACTTGTTAGGGATTTCAGAGACAGGTTACAAACCAAAGCTACCACCTGTCAGAGGGATCCCAGGGCACCAGAACCCTTTTCCCTCTAGGGACCCATTCCCATGTGGTACAGCTCTTGGTTTCTCTGCTCTCCTCCCAGCAGCACGCCTCCCCTGCCCGAGGCCCGGCTCTGCAGGAGCTCACGGCGGAAGGCGGCGGCACTTTGTGCTCGGGGAGGAGAAGCAACAAAGCGGCCTGCAGCCAGCAGTGCCAGCATCACCCTGCGGGCCCCGAGCCGCCCAGCTGCAGGCCGGGGCCGCTGCCGCTTACCTGTGTCCCCGCTGCCGGCCGGCGGGAGGTCATCAAAGAGCAGCGAGCCCCCGGTGCCTGCGGGGCGACACGGGACGGGCTCAGCCCACAGGGAGGGGGGGGCACAGGGACTATTTTAGGGCTGAGGGGGTGCTCCCGGCACCTACCTGTCCCCGCGCTGCCGGCCGGCGGGAGGTCGTCGAAGAGCCGCGGCCCGCCCGGGGCCTCCTTCCCTGCAAGGCACCGCCGGGGCTCGGCACCGCCTCACGGGGCGGCCTCAGCCGGGCCCCGAAACCCCCCCCCGGTGTCCCCCCGGTGCCCCCCGGTTCTCCCCTCACCCCCCGGCCCCCTCCCGGTGCCCCCCCCGCCCCTCACCCCCCGCGGCCCCGCCGGGCTCGGGCAGGTCCCCGAACAGGTCCATCCCCCGCCGCCGCCGCCGCCTCTGCCGCCGCCTCAGCCCCGCCCCTGCCAATCACCCCCTGGGGGCGGGGCCAGCGCGGCCCGCTGACCAATGGGCTGCGGCGCCGAGGCCGGAAGCCCGCCCCCACCGCGCGGCGCGGCGGGGAGAGGAGAGGAAGTCTTCCCCCCCGCGCTGCCGAGGGGGCGGGGCCGCGGTGCGATGTGAGCCAATAGGAAGGCGGGATGCGCTGCCCATCAGGAGGGTGCTGGCCAATGAGGGGGCGGTGTGGGGGGCGCGGGCGCAGCGCCCCCTGGAGGCGGCCTGAGGGGGCGGCGGCTGCTGAGGGGCCGCGGGGTCCCCCCCAGGAGGGCGGCCCCGTGACTGAGCCGTCCCCTCAGCCCCACAGTGAGGGGTCCCTCCCTGTGAACCCACAATAAAGGATTCCTCCCTGTGACCCCCCAGTAAAGCATCACTCCCCCTGACCCCACAGCATCTGCTCCCCCCGACCCCACAGTCACAGCCCCATAGGATATCCCGTTGGAAGGGATCCCCAAGGGTCACCGAGTCCAACTCCTGGCTCCACACAGGTCTGCCCAAAATTTTAGACCTCATCTCTAAATGCACAGTCCAAACACTTCTTAAATTCAGACAGGCTCGGTGCAGTCACTGCTTCCCTGGGGAGCCCATCCCGGTCCGTGACTCCCCTCTCAGTGAGGAACCTCTTCCTGGTGTCCAGCCCAAACCTCCCCTGCCTCAGCCTGACACCATTCCCCTGGGTCCTATCATGGTGACCAAGGAGAACAGATCGGTGCCTTCTCCTCCACTCCCCCGCGTGAGGAAGCTGTAGACCGCCATGAGGTCTCCCCTCAGCCTCCTCTTCTGCAGGCTGAACAGCCCCAGTGCCCTCAGCCGCTCCCCATACGTCTTCCCCTCCAGGCCCTTCACCATCTTCATCATCCTACATAAAGCCAGGGTTGCCCCGTCCCAGGTGCAGGACCCGGCACTTGCTCTTGTTAAACTTCACGTGGTTGGTGATCGCCCAGCTCTCCAACCTGTCCAGGTCTCTCTGCAAGGCCTTTCCACCCTCATCCGAGTCCACAACTCCTCCAAGTTTGGTGTCGTCGGCAAATTTGCTCAAAATACCTTCTAGTCCTACATCCAAATCGTTTATAAAAACATTGAAGAGGACCAGCCCTACAATAAAGGATTGCTCCCCTCAACCCCTCAATAAAGGATCACTCCTCCTGACCCCCCAGTAAAGCTTCTCTCCCCCTGACACCCCAATAAAAGATCACTCCCCCCAACCCCTCAATAAAGGATACCTCCCCCCGACCCCACATTAAGGGATCACTCCCCCTGACCCCACAACAGATCCCTCCCCAGCCCCCCAGAAGGACACTCAGGCGGCTGCGTCAATGCCACATTTATTTCAGAACCGAACAAGCCTGGCACACACGGGTGGCCGGGACCCGAAGCTCCAACACGGGGGGTGTGGGGGCACGGGGTGGGGGCGCAGGATGGGGGCCAGGGCCGGGACATGGCTCCCGTCCCACGGGGGGCCTGGGGCTGTGGGGAGGAGGCCGCCTCACACCTCGGGCCTCGCCGGGAGGAGGGCGGCACACCGGGCCCCGCCGCGTGCTCTGCAGGTTGGCTGGCCTCAGGCACGCCGCGGGGGGACCGGGACCGCGGCCCCACAGGGCCCCCGGCCCCGTGTCTGGTCACTGGCAGACACCAGGGCCCGTCCCCACGGGGAGGGCTCCACCGGGAGCTGCCTTCACCCCGGAGGAGCCTCCTCCTCCTCCTCGCCCCCTGGAAAGGAGTTTTGCCAAAATCCAGGATGAGGAAAACGGTCAAACGGGGAGCTTCTGCCCCAGGGCACGAGGAGACCGGCCGCCCCCCAAGCACGGCCGTCCCCGTCCCCAGCCGCCCCCGTCCTCCGCGTCCTCGCCAGCTTACAAAGGAGCAAACGGCATGGAGGGACGGCCTCGGCCCCGACACACACAAGGGACAGCATGGGGACGCGCGGTGGGGCCGAGGCTCGGCCGTGCTGTGCAAAATTAAGGTCGGCTGTGAATGCGTGACGGCGAAGCGGGGCCCGGCGGGGGCCCGGGGATGTGCGGGGGAAGACGCCTGCCTTCCTGCCCGGAGCTGCGTGGGCTGCCCGCGGGAAGCCCTGAACTGAAGCCCCCCCGCTCGGTGAAACGACCAACAAAGGGAGACGGAGCCAGGAGGGACGCGGAGCAGGGGGCCTGGGGGCTCTGCTGGGGAGGAGGAGGCCGCCAAAGCGGTGGAGCCACCTCTGCCTCGGGGAGCCCCCGCCAGCACAGCTCCTGTGCCGCAGCTGGAGGCGGGGGGGGAGGAAGGTGAGATTGCACTTCTGGAACTGGGGGGGGGAAAGAGGGCTACGAAAACGTCAGCTACAAAAGTGAGAAGCCCCGGCCCCTCTCCTCCCCAGCGAACCCAGCCCAGTGCCCCTCGCTGGTCTCTGCCTCGGCCCCGCTCTCCCTGCCGGAGGGGACAGCAGAGCCCTTGGGGGCGAGGGCAGCGAGGGATCCCGTGGCTGGGCTGGCTGCTCCCAACCCTGGCTCCCGGGGGTCTTTCTCGCCTGGTTTTGAGAGCAGCCAGCCCGCCTGCCTGTGCTCCCTGACTGCCTGGCAGGAGGCCCCAGGGAGGGGGCAGCAGCGTGGCCGGCCAACGTGGGCCAAATTTCAGGCTCGGGGCAGAAAAAGGAGCCGAAACACAACTTGTCCTCAGCACGTGCCCACACTGACGCACAACCGTCCCCCTGGGCTGCTGGGGGGGGAGGTTGGCTGGTCCTTGTGGACACGGGAGCCCTGGCCACCGAAACTGGCATGCGTCCCCCTCCAGAGGTAGATGGGGCAGGGAGGAATTGCCTCGCTTGGGAAGACGTGGTGCCTTGGCCGGTCACCGCTCCTGGGAAAAGTAGTTTAAGCACTGGGGGGGGGCAAAGCAGAGGGTTGGGGGAAGGATGGGGGGCGAGGGCGAGCGCACTGCAGTCACCGGGCACGTCTGCACTGCTGGGGGCAGGGGACAGGCCCGCCGCGCTCGGTCCCCTCTCCTGGGAGAGGTGTCCCCGGGAGAGGGGCCGCGGTGGCCCTGGCACCAGCCCGCCGCCAAGGCTCTCCCCGGCCCAGGGAAGGCGTTGTCCAGGGGCCGGGCCCCAGCGTGTGGGGTTTTCTGACGTAAATAGAAATAAATACTTTATAAATATAATCTTAAACTACTGACACCTGATTTTGCCCTGCCATCTTTTGTCGACACAATAAATTAGGAAATCCCCATACCTAAACTACTGCTTTCCCTTCACGTGGAAGCAATTCCTCCTGATTTCTCACCTCTGAGCTTTACAAGACGCCTACCTCTGTAGATCAAAGACCAGCTTTTAACCCAACCTACCCTCCTTGCTCCCTCCCCTCCGAAAGGAACCTTTCTGGAGCGTTACAGGTTGTGTGACATGACGGTCACCCACGAGGGGATGGGCAGAAGATCACATGCACACGAGAAATCCTGCCCAGGCGGGGCCGGGCGTTTGCAGCTACGAACAGAAATGAGTTTCCCCCGTGAAGGTGTAAATCGAGACAGATCCTTCCATGGAGCAGGCAGCTGGGGCAGCAGATGGTGTGAGAGATCGGACGTTAACATGGGGACTCTTGAGGCAGAATCAGCTATCTTGATCCTGCTGGCAGACGGATGAGGTGGAGGGTGTTTTTCAGGTTAGATTCTCATCTGGGCTGTTCTCCTTCTGGACAGCTTGGATCTGATTCGGAAACCGAGAAACAAAAGCAGTCAGAGATGCGGAAAGGGAGATTTGGGGTCCCCTGGGTGCAGCCTGGTGCTTGAATCCAGCCAGAGCCAGCAGGGCAGGGGGTTAACAGCAGCACTCTTTTGGCAGATCTTGTGAATTTCTGTGCATTTATTCCTCTTCCCCTGCTCCTGCAACTTGAGATGATCTCAACAAGTTCTTGAGATGATCTCAAGAAGTGCTGCATGTGGGCGTTGCTTTGAGCTCAGTCTCTGTACCAGCCAGGATCTGGCTCACAGTTAAGCGGGGAGGAACAACCCCTCGCAGCTCCCAGGGGGCAGAGCTGAAATCAAAATGAACACGACCCAATCTCTGCCTGCTGAGAGCCGGGCTCAGGAGGTGCTCCCTGTGCTTGGCCATGAAGGACAGCAGCTCGCCAGCCTGAGGACAACACGGGGACAGCCACTACCAACCCCCCTGGCACCACAGACCCTTGGGGGGCTTCCTCTTACCTTATGGACCCAGCCAGGAGGGGGTTGAAGGCGTAGAGCCAGTCGTGCATGTCCTTGTCACTGCTTGCCTGCAGCAGGATGCCCCGGTGCTCCGTGCACACCGCGAAGGTGTTGGGGGTCTGCTGGGGGAGAGCCGGGGGTCAGCCCCTCGCCCCACGGCGTGGAGGCTCCCCCCTCCCCGCAGGGGCTGCACCCACCTTCAGCATGGCCTGCTGGTCCTCGCTGTACTCCACTTGGGCCTTGGAGAGGTTGAGTATGGCCCTCTCCACCGAGTCCTTGTCCGAGTTGTAGATGTAGACGTAGGGGCGCCTGACCACCACGAAGCGCTTCACCCACCCGTTGGTGTGGGGCTCCAGGAAGTGCAGGTAGCCCTTTTTGGAGACGATGGGGCTGCAGAGTGGGGGGACAGTGAGGAGGTGGCTGTGCTAGGGCGCCATCCGCCCTGCCCCAAAGCACCAGCTGCTCCCCCTGCCCCTATAGGGGTCCTCTCCTGGCCTCCCCGGTGGCTCCTACCTGACCCGGATCTCCTGAATGTCGGGCACCAGCAGACGCTGGGGCTCCTTCTCTTCCTCAGGCCGGCGGGCTGGGGACTTCTTCTGCTCCCCTTCCACCACAGGCTCCAGGTCGGGACTCTCCAGCCTGGAGGAGACCTGCAGGGCTCTGGGTGGGAAGGAGAGAATGGGGTTGGAGGCGTGCAGGACGCCCAGCAGCCACGAGCACATCTGAGGGGTCCGGCCACCCTGCTCGGTGGGTGACGGGGAGCCTGCCCGACCCCCTGCCCACCCTCATACCTGACTTCCACGGCATTGTAGCGTCCTTCCACCAGCGATGGGCAGGTTGAGGAAGGGGTGAGGGTGGTGACCCCGAGAGCTGACATGGAGGGATCTCTCATCAGGGTCACAGACATTTCGGACAGCTGTGGAGGAGCGGAGGTGTGGACTGGAGTCTCTGCCCGAAGCCGGGCACAGCTCTGGCCGGGGCAGGGAGAGGAACATGCATATCGGTGCTCTGGGAGCATCCGGGCGAGCAGAGGGTGGCAGCGGGGCCACCCACCCGTGCCCTGCCAGCCCAAGTCCCCACGCATCCCTCCCCACCCTTAGCCAGCCCCACAGACCCCAAAATTTCCCCCGCCGCCCCGGTACCTTGCTCTCGCTGGCGCTGATGCAGACGTGGCTGTGGCTGTACTCGCGGTTGAAGGTGTGCGTGAGCAGGCGCAGGCACTGCGGGCGGACAGGGAGGGCGGTGGGGCAGGAGGCACCTTCCTCCACCCCCCCCCCACCTTCCTCACTGTGTTACCACCACCCCCCGGGACTCCTCCCCGTCTGTGGGGCGCTACCTTCACAGCCAGCTCCTTCTGCCTCTCGCTGGGGGTCTCAGGCAGAGGGGTCCGTCCCTCCGGGGCCCCGTCTGCGGACAGCGGGGAGGAGACGCAGGAGGTGCTTCGAGACTCGGAGTCCTCGCTGGAGCAGGGGGACAGGCTCTCCAGGCCCAGCCGCTGGGTGGTCTCCAGCTTCTCACGCAGCAGCAGGTAGTGCCTGGTCTTCTCCACCTGGATGAGGACAGCCCCGCTCAGTGCCGGGCCTCCCCGCACCCGGCTCGGGGGCATCCTTTAGGAGAAGGCGCTTCCCACGCCTCGTTAACCCAGCTGCTCGTTAGCAGGGGGTCTGACGGAGCCCAGCACAGCCCCGTGCCCCCCAGCTGGGACAGCGGGGTGGCCTTGCATGGGAAGTGCCCGGCGAGGCCGTTCCCAACCCTTACTTCTTGCAGCAGGCTGAGCTTCTCCAGCTCCCACTGATGGTCGAGGATGAGGCTGTCGCTGCGGGGCCGCCAGCCGGCCAGGTTCTCCTCTCCCCTGACGTAGGCCACGGAGGTGTCCAGCACACGCCGGCGACGCCTCTGCATGCCTGCGGGGACAGACGCACAGCTCAGGGGACAGACTCGGGGATGGGGGGGGGGCACGGAGCTCATATCACGGCCCCGCAGCGTTTGAAGGCAGAAGCAGGGCACCCACCTGGGCTGCCAGCATCCGCCACGCGGCACAGGCTCAGCTCGTAGACGCCCGTCACGCGGTTGCTGAAAGCAAAAGGGAGGCGTCCCCTGGCTGCCTGCTGTCCCCGCACCCTGAGGATGCTCCCCACACGCTGCTCCAGAGCAGCTCCCGTCCCGTGGGTGCTGGCGGCATCGCTTCCCCCAAAATCCTCCCCCCCAAACACCGGGGAGGGTGCGGGTACCTCTCCGAAGCCCGCAGGCTGCCGCTGCCGAAGAGGTTGCGGATGGAGCGGGAAGCAGGGAGCTTGGCGTCGCGGGAGTAGAAAACCATGCAGAAATCTTTGGTGATGACGGCGGGCTGGGTGCAGTTCTCCATCTGCAGCAGGGTGGGGAGAGAGGGGAGCAGAGGGGCATCAGTGCCGGTCAAGAGGGGCGGGGAAAACCCCAGGGGGCGAAACACCAGCCCTGGTTTGCACTCCAGCTGCAGGGAGAAGGATCCTTGCCTCGATGTACGCGGAAAGGGTGATGTAGATTTTCTCCCGGTATGGGGTGACGCGGTTGAGCAGCAGGGAGTTGTGCATGGAGCTGTCCCACGCCGTCTCAAACTGGTAGAAAGTCCTGCCGAGAGAAAGCAGAGCCGCTGAAACGACCCCCCCCCAAAATAAAATAACAACAAACTCGGGCCAGCGAGCAAGGAGACGGCACCCACCCCCCCTGGCAGCGCTGCGGCAGGCCTGCGGGGACAGGCGGGCATGCACGGGGCGTTTGGGGACAGCCACGCCGGGGGATGCAGGGGCTCAAGGCAAAGCCGAGGCGGGATGGGTGCAGCGGGACGGGGACACGGCGCCCTCGCAACGGGAGCGGGCGCAGGGGTTTGGGGTGGCGTGGGGGGGGGCTCAGCTGGGGTGCGGGGCAAGATGGGGAGGTGGGGACGGAGGGACAGAGGAGGGAACGTGTCCCCAGTGCTTGGGGTGAGCTGTCACCCCCGGCACACCGGGGCCAGGGCCCTGCCACCCATCCTGGAGTGGCTGTCACCACTTGGGTGACAACGGGTGGAGCAGGGAGGGGGGAGATGCTCGGCACAGCGGGGAGCAGCTCAGTGGGGACAGCCCCCCCCCAACCTGTGGGACCCGGGGACCAGCACTGGGTGCCCGTGGGGCTGCCTCCCCCTGCTCTTGCTGTGCCCTGGCTGCTGCCCGCAATGTCCCCGTTGGCCGCCCCAAACCCTCGCTGCGTTTTCCACCTCCCCACCTCTGCGCTGGGGGGGCCGGGCAGGAGCCAGCGGGGGGAGCACTGCTGGGACCCCACAAAGGACGGTGCAGGGCAGCGGCTGCACTTTTGGGGTGGGAGGATAGGGGGGAAGCAGGAGGTGCCTCAGGGTCGTCACCCCCCTGCCGCTGGAGCCCCCCAGCTCCGGCCACCCGCGGTCACAACAGCCCCAGCTCCTGCGTGAGCCCCCTCAGGAGGCCGTGGCACAACGGCAGCACGGCAAAACCACGTCCAGGGGGGCAAGCAGCAACGTGGCGAGAGCCAGGGCTGGGAGTGGGACTTTGGCTGCTCCTGGGGATGTGCTGTCACTGCCCCTGCTCGGGGGCCACGCTGCACAAGAGCGAGTCGCGCTCTGGAAGGCGTCGCGTACGTGGAAACCACACGAGACAGTCGAGGCGAAGGATCGCTTTTCAGACACAGACCACTTGAGAAGAGAGAGCTCCCGAGGGAGGAGGATATCAGAGAAGAGGAGAGGAAGGGGAAGGGGGGAAGAGAGCAAAAAGCAAAGGAACGAGGCGAAGGAGAAAGAGAGAAAAGCGGGAGGGACCAGACCGAGCGAGTAGGCGCGAAATACCTAGTGTCATTTCCGAATGAAATGCTATAAGTAGAAGGCAACCCAGGACAAACACACACACACGTACACACACAGAGAAACGAAACGTCAGAAAGCGTCGTCCGTATGAGGCCGCTGCTGCCTGCGGCGCCCGCTGCGTGGGACGGGGCGCGCAGGGAGGGAGCAGCAGCAGCGCAACGGCTCTGCCCCGGGGCTGCTCGGGGACGGGGGGAGCCCGGCAGAGCCCAGTGACCATCAGCCTTCAGCTCAAGGCCCGCGCCGTGGGACAGAAATTTCACGTAGGGAATTCCCCAGCAGGCACGGTGGCCATCTCCCGTGCCACGGTGGCCATCTCCTGCACCACGCGGGGCTTTGGCACCAAGCTCTGCGTCGTCACTCGCGTTCCCCTGATGGCTCCTGCTGGCACAGCCCCCAAATCAGGGGCCTGAAAGAGCTCAGCAGAGCAATCCCGAGGTTTACCCACGTTAGGGGTGTTGCAGAAAACCCTCCGCAGCCCCACACCTTCCTCCCTGAACTCTGCCCTCTCTGCAGGACCCCTGAGGAGGCGGCAGGTCTCGGAACAGCCTCTCTGCTCTCCTGGGGCCTGCAAGGTGTCCGTGCTCAGGCCTGGCAGGGCAGAGCAGCTCGCCTGCCTCTGCCCAGGCAGCAGGAGGGGTTTCCTCAACCTTCCCCATCTCACCAGGTGAGCGTCACCCTGCAGCAGCCCCATGGGCAGCACCAGGGCAAGCCCACGCGCTCCTACAGCCACCTGTGCCGTCCCCGAGCACCCTGCTAGGACAGGGTGCCACCGGAGGCACAGACAGACAGACAGATGTCCCCTGGCATCCCCAAGCGGTACCAGCCCCTGGACGCTGCAGGTGGCACTTGGCAGACCCCAGCCCCAGTCTCCCCAGCGTAGCCACCCCATTGTGTGTACGCTGCACCTACGCACGCAGGAGGGCTGCGCGGGTGCTGGCGGCCCCCACAGTGGCTGCGGGGTGTGCGTACGACACGCACGCGCTCCCACGCAGCCCAGCACCCAGCATGGGTCCCCAGCACCCTCCCCACGCAGGGCCGGGGCAGGAGCAGGGGGGGACGGAGCCACGGGTCCCTGGCCGGATGCCGGAGAGCAGCGAAGTGAAAAGGCAAGAACAAAACCAAAACCAGGCGATGGGAGCACAGGCCAGCGAGAGCGAGAGCGAGGAGGAGCGAGATCGCGATCCAAACAAACAGCAAAACCCGCGGGGAAGGGGTGGCGTGAGAGAGAGAAAGAGAGAGGTGCCCGGGATGTGGTGAGAGGAGGAAGATGTGGAGGGGGGGGGCTGGACACCCAAGTGCCGCCGCCGGCGGGAGTGAGAGTGCTGAGGTGCGGGGGAGAGAGAGGGGAAGAGCAGAGAGGGGGTGGAAAAAAAACCAATGGAAACAAATAATACCTAGGCATATCCGAATCAAGAAACTGCCTGCGAAAACACAAAACAATCACATGGTTAGTGTGGGCTCGGATGGGCAGCGGCAGCAGCGGGTTTGGAGAGAAGCAAGGGAGACTCTCGGGGCCGCCCGCCGCACCCCAGCGCTGCCCGGGTGGGCGGCGGGCAGGAGGGGGGGTCCCGGGGAGCGCCGAACGCCGGCAGGAGGCTGCCCCAAAAGGTCCGGGAGGCTGCGGGAGATGGGCAGAGGCAGGGCCTGCTGTCGGCGATGGAGGCTGCGTGGCGGCCGGTAGCAAAGCGGGGAGCAGAAGCAGCCTGGGAGGAGGGCGAGGCGGGCGCCGCTCTGCCCGCTGCCGCCCTTGGCCTCGCGTCCCCGGCAGGCGTCTGGGGTCGGAGCATGCAGGGCGGCGGCGGGATGGAAGCGCGGGGTTGCTGCGGCGGCCCCTCGGCATCTTGCTGGGAGCCAGCGTCCTCCGTCCCCCGCCGCTGCCCCCCGGCCCCGCGCCCGGGCTCCCCGAGGAGACGGCGGGTACCCCGCGGCCCTGCTGTGGGGCTTGCTCCCAGGCAATCCCCCCAGCGCGGGGGCGAGACCAGCTCCTGCACGCCCCACGGCTCCCCTCCCCGAGCACCCCCAGATGCGTGAAGCCTCCCACCATGCAGGCGGGGGAAGGCAGGAGCCACGTTCCCTCTGCCCGGCTGCAACGGGGATGCCGGAGACCAGATCCGGCAGCGTCCCAGGCAGCAGAGGCTGCTGCCCCATGAGCCCGGGTGTCGCATCCCTCTGGCTCCTTCACATCTGGCAAAAACCACCACGGCTGTGCTGGTGTGAATATCCTCACCCCGCCATCCCAGGCCACCAGCCGCCTGCCTGGCCTCGCTTTGCTGTCCCAGCGGGTGTGACAATGCCCGACGCTCACACGCGCGTCCCGGCGCCGTGCCTGGGCACTCCCTGCCTCACAGCCACAGCTTTGTCACCGAGACACCAGCCTCCCCGGGGAGGAGTGACCCAGCAGTCCCAAAAATCAGGGGCAAGATGGTCCTGCTGCCATCCGGGATGCTCCTACACCAGGGACTGTGCTCCTGTGCCGGGAACTGCCCTGCTCACTGCTCAGGACCGGCCCCCACTGCTCCCCGAGCCACCAACACCCAGCCCCACTCTCGTCCCCAGATGTCACAGCACCCCACGTGCACACACTCCGACCGCGTGGGGTGGCCACACCACAGCCTCGGTGTGGGGACAGCCCTGCCGGGGCAAGCAGGAGGGGTTTTCCCCCACGGCCCCACGCATCGTGAGCACAAAGCAGCATTTCCAGCCGTTTGGCCAGGACACAGGACAGGCTGTGGCAGGGTCAGCACAACCTCCTGTCACTGTCACTGAACAGGACCCTGACCCCAATACCCCACATGGCCACCCACGGTCTGGAAGGGCCTCAGGGAGGAGGAGGAGGAGGAACGGGGCGGGTGTCCCAGGCTTTGGGGGCTCCGTGAGACCCTCTGCAGCTCGAGAAAAGCAGCACCCCCCTCCCCCAAAGCAGCAAGGGCCAGCGGGACCCTGCAGAGGGGCTCAGAGCACCCAAGGGAGAGGGGGGTTCCCACATCTCCCCCAGTGCTGCAGTCGGGGGAAGAGCAAGAGAAGCAGGGGCACGCACCGGTCGTCCTGGGAAGGGTGGATGTAGCCAGAGGACAGGATGTTCAGGGACAGGATGTTGGGGTCGATCAGAGACTCGTCAGCTTCTGGGGTGTTCCGGATCCGACCTGTAAACGCAGCACAGGGACACACTCAGGTGTCCTGCCAGGCTCCTGTGACCAGCGTGGCCCCCCCATTGCGTCCCAACTGGTGCCCAGGACCATGATGGCCCCGTGGTGGCACACAGGGAGCAGTCACCTCATTGCTATTTCCCTAAGGGATGTGGGGAGGATTTGGGGGGGAGCTCCCATGCCGCCCCAGCCCGCTCTGCTTACCCACAACCAGCTCCCGCACTTCCTTCCAGCGGATCAGGCTGCCCGTCTCATGCACCAAGGTGACGGTGATCCTCCTCTGGATACCCTGAGACCCCCGAGGCCAGCGAGAAAAGGGCAGCGGTTGGCACAGAGCCCGGGCAGCGAGGCAGGAGCCAGGCAGGGCGCAACGGGGACTCGGGGAGGGGATACCTGGTGGAGCAGGAAGGTGCCGTGGCACGGCATGCCTCCGCGGTGGTCCACGACGGCCGGGATGTAGCTGGAAGAGAGGACGGTGATGGGACACGGCTCTGCCCATGTGCCCAAGCCCACCGTGCTTCTCGTTCACCCCAGACACTCCGTGCACCACCACCACCAGGGCAACTGATCCCGAGGAAGAAGGAATCCTCGGGGGTGCCCCTGGGGAGCTTGCACATGGCGGGGCCGTGCCCAGGACTTACTCGCCGTTGGCCTCCAGCTCGCAGATCTCGAAGAAGACCATCAGGTCGTACTTGCACTGGCAGGGCCCAGCGCTGGGACGAGTCATGGTGCTCAGTTTGGTGGCAGGCACTGCAGCGGGGGGGAAGGAGGACTTAAAGTTGAGGCAGGTTGCTGCTCCTGGAGTTTGGAGCCCCACACACAGCAGCAAGCAGGGGAAGGCAGAGCAGGCACTGGGCAGGAGCTGGGGTCAGACAGGCAGAGCCACCAAGCAGGGCAGCAGCAAGGCAGGAGACAGTGCGGGGGGGGACACACACCAGTCCAGGGGGACACAGCCCCATCCTGGGGACCTCGCTGGCCGCCGTGTGCTTCCTCCCACTCCCAAAGCAGAGCAGCGAGAGTTCAGGATGGGGCTTCCCCCGGAGACACCCAGCCCAGCCCTGCAGCCCCAGGAGGTGCAGGGACAGGACCCAAACCACACAGCACCGCTCCAGCACCAGGGGAGCAGCTTGTGGACAGCCGGAGAGGGGCGGCTGGCACATATCCCTCGGTGCCAGAGCGGGATGCGGGCAGGCATCACGGCAAACCACTGCACTCGGACGAACCAGAGCGACTCGGGTCTCAGCAGCCAGAGGCAGGGGAGACTCGCCCAGCCCCTGCAAGGGCGGCTTCGGGAGCTCCGGGCACTGCGTGCCCCAGGGGATGGCTGCGACAGGAGACCCGAGGAGCCACTGGCCCTGCCGCAGCCCCGTGCGGGCACGAACCCGGCTTCTGCGCCTTCCCGACTGCACGGTCCGTGGCGGGCAGGGGTGGCGGGCAGGCGGGCTCCTCCGCGCCGTGCCGCAGGAGGGAGGTGGCGGCGGTGGCGGCTGCCAGCACGTGCCCGGAAAGCGTGTCCAGGAGCGAGCCCGCCAGAGCAGCTGGCACCGAGCAGCCGCTGAGCCGGAGGGGTTTGGTGTGCTCTTGGGGTTTGGGAGGGAGGGAGACAAACAGAGAGGCCGACACAAAGCAAAGCGGTTACACACGGACACTTGGCACGAGGGAGGGGGACCACGGGGCTGCCGTGAGCACAGGGGAAAAAGCACTTGCAAAGGGGTTTGCGCCAGCTGTACATGGAGCGAGCGGGTGCTGAAGGGCCTCTGGGTGCTGTGCCCCTCAGGCCCTGCCCTGCAAGCACATGGCAAGAGGGCGCAGGGAGCGGGGCGCAGCAGGGGACCCGGTCTGCAGCCTGGGGACTGCAGGAGAGGGGCAGGACGCGGTCTCCTACCTGGCTTGGAGAGCGGCATCACCCGGGGGAAGTGGCGCCGGGATGGCCTCAGTGGGCTGCAGAGAGAACAGGCTCGGATGAAAGCACCCGCAGCAGGAACTGGATTTGGGGGCCCCAAATCCGGCCCGGGGCCACCGTCCTCTGCACCCCTGTGAAACCAGGGTGCTCTCCCAGCCCAGCCCCACGGCACCAGGGGAAGGCAGAAAGACCCGCACGTGGCCGGGGGCACCCACCTGAGGACGTCCTTGCAGAGAGGCGGGAAGGGGTGTTGCTGATAGTGCCCAAAAACTTCAAATACAATCGGCTGGCTCTTGATGTACTCGATGAAGGACTTGGTCACCTCCACAGCAATCTGAGAGAGAAAGAGCATGCAACCACGCTGCCTGGTTTGGAAAGGGATGCGATGCGCTGAGAAAACAGGCACCAGGGAAGAAGGGGCTGCTCTGGGGAGATCTGCCTGACACCCGAGGGAGACACCCGCAGCTGAGGGGGTGCCCAGAGGCAGGGTACTCACATTTTGGACGTGGTAGAAACCCAGTGGTGGCCCTCGCCCTGTGTTCTTCAAGGGCTCCGTTGAAAAGGCCTCATCGTGGCGATGGATGAAACTGCAAAGGGAAGGAAGGGAAGGTGTTTGGGGGCTGCAGGACAATGCAGCAGCTGGGTGGGAGGGAACAAGGAGGGGAGAGGGGGAAGGAGCCAAGCCTGCGGCCCACACAGCGCTGTGTCCTGTCACCTGGCCTGGGCTGACACAGAAAACCCACCCCACGCTAATCTGCAGCCCCCCAGCGCCTGTCAGACGCTGTCCTCAGCTTTCACCAGTGACCAGATGTGTGTCCAGGCTAACACGCACGCTCGCCCTGCACCCCTTGGTTTTGCCTCCCCTTCCATGAAAGCCATGGAGCAGAAGGACGAGAGCAGAGCGTGGGATGCAGCTCCCAGCGCTACCCCTGCCTGCCTCCTCCCGGGGCAACCAGAGGAGGTGAAGGCCAGAGCGTGGAGGGAGGTAACGGGCTGGGGGCCACCGTGGTCTCACTTGAACTGGCAGAAGATATCTGCGTATTCTGCTGAGATGCTGGAGGCTTGCAGGACAGTCACTCGGAAAGTGAAGATGCTGCCCAGCTTCAGGTGGTCCAGAGCTGCCTCCAGGGGCCCGTCCATCGTGGACTTCTCCGGGCTGTCCAGGAGAAGGTCCTCTGGTGTCACTGCGTGGAGAAGAGAGCCCTCGGATGTCAGGAGTCATCTTCCTGACGCCTGCCAACAGCTCTGCACTGCTGGGCACGAGCTGCCAGGGCCTGGGCTTTGCGTGCAGGCAGCTCGCCGCTCACCTGCGCAGGTGTTGTTGTTGACCTCGTCGGCGGAGGGCCCCAGGTCACTGATCTGCCCCTGGCCTTCCACGATGCGCAGCTCCTCCTGGGACGTTCCCGAGCGGGACATCCCCACGGCGGGGCAGGACTCGGACTGGAACTGCAGGGGGGTGATGGGGAAGGGTGCCTGAGGGAGGCTTGGCGGTGCCACCATCGCGGTGCTGAGCACGGGTACAGCCACACGGGCAGCTCCGGCTCGCCCGTCACACCCCGCAGCAGCCCCCCCAGGACTGGGCTCCTCAAGCAGCGGGAGCAGGGCCAGATGTCACCCCGACCCCACGGGGCAAGCATGCCTCGGAGAGCAGCGGGTCGACAGACAACGCCCCCGTGCCACCGCCGCGGCCGTACCTTCTCGAAGTGCTGGTCATCGAAGGATATCTTTGCCGTCCCCGACTGCCGCACTCCAGAGCCATAATCCGGGGCCTCCTCATCAGCTGGGGGAGGAAGGCGTTGAGACGTTAGTGGGGGGCTTCAGGGAACGTGTGGGATGAGGCAATGCGGGGCTGAGCCTCCTACCTGAGATGGCCTGGACGGCCACGCGCAGGAAGCCCTTCACCTCGCCCTTCTCGCTGACGATGGCCACGCGGTGGACCAGGGGCACGGGGTACAGCAGGTTGCTGAGGTACACGAAGGCCCTGCCGGGGGGGAAGCGAGACGGGGAGCGCCGTCACCGCCCCCGCCCGCGCGTCCCCAGGCGCGGGTGGTGGCGGCCGCCGGCGGCCGGGTCCCAGGTCACCACTGAGGCCGCGACGGCGCTGCAAAGCAAAGCCATGAGGGGCAGCCAGGGCCAGCGCGGGGCAGGGAGCAGGTTCGCCTCGCCGGCCGTCCCCTCCGCTGCGGGCGGGAGCGCGTCCTGGGGAGGGGATGGGGATGGGACTGCGCCGGTGCCGCAACAAGCCGGGAGGAGGACCGTCGTGGCAGTGACGAGCTGGAGGACGGGGGCAGGAGGTGCTGTGAGACAGCTCGGGGGTGCTGCGGAGGCAACGGGGAGCGGGCGAGGCGAGGCCGGGGTGGGAGAGGGAAGGGGCGAGGGAGGGGAGGGAGGAGAAGGTCCTGCCTGGGGCCCCGGAGCCTCCAGAGAGAGGGGAACCTGCCCTGGGCGGCGGTGGCTGGAGGTGGCTGGGGAGGCTGCGTGGCGTGGCCGGTGGCACTGGCGGCGTGCACGTGTCCCCCGCCCCGTCCTGCCTGGGGCCTTGGGGTCCCGGGCCACCCCCCGGGGCGAGGTGCCACCCCGGGGCCGCGAGGTGACAGCTGAGCTCTGGGGAACCTCCTCCTGATGGTTGGGCTGGGGACGGGCACGTGGCCGTGCGGTGCTCCCTGTGTGTTCGGCCTCCTCTTGCTGCCTTCCTCAGCTGGCTGGTGCCTCACTGCCCGGCTGCGAGCTGGGGACCGATTTTGGTCCTTTCTGCCCAAGTCGCAGCGTTTCTTCTGGCACGCTGGTGGTGGAAGCGCGCCGTGCCCTCGGCCCTGCTCTCCTGCAGCATCCTCGTGCTCTGTGGTCAGGATCCTGATGGCACCCGCCGGGACACGTCGGCTTTGGGAGGCTCCTGAGGGGGCTGCAAACATCTCCGAGCAGTTTGGCTTTGCTGCTCACGGCTTCCTAACCTCGCAGGCGTCCAAACAGCATCCAAAAGCACGGCAGGGCTCTTGCAGGAAGGCCACAGCCCTGCACGTGAAGCCCAGACCTTGAGGTTCAGAGGTTCTCCCTGCTGCTGGAGCTCCGGCCGGCCTCAAAGCGCTGTCTGAGCCTTTTTCCACCCAAAGAGACTCCACGAGGGACTGAGGCACGGAGCGTGATCCCCCGCCAGGCGTCCCTGTCTCGGCCCATCTCTTCTTGGAGGCCGGCAGGGCCGAGGGGCTGGAGCAGGCACGGGTTGGGGAGCGCCCGCACGCCTGTCTCCTGCCCCAAAAACACCGGGCAGCTCATCGGGATGAAACCGGAGGGAGGTGGGGGGTGAAGGAGGAAGGGAAAGATGGAGGGGAGGGAGGGAGGGAGGAGGAGGAGGGCAGGGAGGAGGGGGACAAGTGTGTCACTAGAGGAAGGAGGGCAGGGACACTAACCACAAGATTGGTGAGGTGCAAAGATGGCATGCTCAGACCAAAGAAAAGCCTTTCCAAAGTAAGACAAAAGTGAAATAACCCCAATTTTCGCTAAAGCTTTGGAGAGAGAGAGCCAGCAGCTAAAAATAAAATTAAAAAAAAAAATGAAAGAAGGAAATAAAGGAAAAAAATAATAATCAAAGACAAGGATCCAATCATAAACCAATCAAAGCACACTTCACAAGAAATGTGGCCAGCACAGCTGCTGCGCGGGGAGCCAAACCCGGGGCAGACTCAAAAGAAGTTGGGAGAGCCTGAGGGGACGACCTGGGGGACCGTCCCCCCGGCACAGAGCGGGGCCCGTGGCCACGGAGGCTTGCTCGGCAGGTCGGTGGGTTTGTTTTTGAGGTGCCCCCAAGAGTTTTGGTTTTGCTTTTGCTTTTTGAAAAAAAAAAGGAAAAAAGAAAAAGGAAAAAAAAAAAAAAAAAGGGCGGAAGAACCCAGCTCTTTCGGTCTGAGGCTGCAGGGCTCTTACCCCACCTCCTCCCTCTCTGCCTGCGCTGCTCTGTCTCCTCCCCACCTCGCTCCCCGCGCCCCAGGTTTAAACACAGCGAGGAAGAGCAGCCCTGGGTGTGGGGGGGCTGCTTTCAGTGAACCCTCCCAGCCCCCGGAGTGGGGGCTCTGGGTCCTGCTCCAGGCACATGTCCCCTTGTCCCCTTGGGAAGAGGTCTGCAGCAAAACCAGGGAGGCCAGCATCACCCTGCCCGCATCGGGAGGGCGTTTTGGGGATGGGCAACTTGCAACTGAGTCTCAAGGCATGTCTGGAGCCTGAGGGGTTTCTCCAGGCCAAGAGTGATTGAGCTCAGGGCTCCCCTGGCAAACAGGGAGGAGAAATTGAGGCTCTCGTCCATTCCTGCTCCTGCAGCCCAGATCCCTGTGTGCTGCCACCCCTGAGCATCTCCTGTGCTGGCGGCTGCAGGAAATAGCCCTGAGCTGCTCATGGGGCACGGGCAGCAAGAGAAAACTGCTTTCCAAAGAGTCCTCCTGCCTGATCCCAGGCTCCCCTCACTCCCATGGCTCCCCCAAGCCCCCCAATCATCCCTGGGGCTCAGGCAGACTGGCACAGCCCCATTTCTCCCTGCTGCACTGGGACAGCTGCGAAACTTATGGCCTCACAGCACCTGCACACCGCTGCCCTGGGACAAAGACGCAGAGCGGTGCGCTCACGGTCTTCACTGCGACTGGCAGGAGGTGACCCTGTCAGGGCCAAAAAAGGCCCGGACCCCCTAGCACAGGTCCTGCAGCACACTGGATGCCAGGGAAACAGGTGACCTGATGTTTTTTGGGGGGGCTGCCCAAAGCAGGAACCTGCCTAAGGGGTCTCGCGCCGGGTCAGCGCGCTCACTCTGCCTCCGCGGTCCCTGTGCCCGCGGCGCCGTGCTCGCCACAGCCCTACCTCGGTGGCCCCACCAGCCACCCCTGCGCCCGTGGGATGCCCTGGAGGTGGGGGTCGTGCCAGAAAGCAGTTCCCTCATGCGAAAGAGCTAGTTCCTTCCCGGCATGCTCTCCTAAAACCTCACCAACCTTCCTACTAAACTGAACAGGGGGGAGCGGTCGTAAAACGGATCCCGGCCATCACACAGCGGGCACTCCGGAAAGATGTCTTCCTCCAGGTCCTCCGCCTCCTCCTCCTCCTCCTCCTGCCCCTCGTGCTGCTCGTCAGCAGGCTCGGTGATGTCGGAGTCGGGGTTCGAGAAGGTAGGGGAGGGGGTGAGATCAGCCATGCGCTCGCTCATGCATGTGTTGAAAAGAGGAGAGCTGTTGCAGCCAGAGATATCTGAACTAAGGTTAGTACAACAAGATAGAAGACAGGTTAACACCAGCTGTTCCAAACAGAGAGAGCAAGAATAGGAATTTTGCTTTGCCTTTTTTTTTTTTTTTTTTTTTTTGGATTGGTTTGGTTTGGTTTCTGCTCAAACCGAGGGATGTCGGGAAACAGAGACCTGCCCGTCCAGCACATCTTTAAAGGAAGCCACCAACGGCCATCAGCTATAAAGTGCAGAAAAAAAGAGTGACCCAACAAACTGGTGCAAACACGGGGATTCCCGTCGCTGGCTTTGCAGGCAGCGCAGCGGGGACAGAGCACGAGACACGAGGCTGGGTGACACCCCACCACCGAGGGGAACCCCGCTGCCGCCAGTGCCACTGGCGTGGGGTGACACCTCTGCGGCACACGCGTCTGCGTGTCCCCCCCGGAGCTGCCTGTCCTCGCCGCCGGCACCGCGCGGGGAGCACACGGAGACGCACGGCACGGGGGGCACAGACAGAGGCTTGGACGCGAACACCTCGGGCTGGGCTCGCAGACAGGCGGCAGGCACGGTGGCACGGGCTCCGCGCCCACCCCTGCCTGCAGCCCCTCTGCCGGCTGTGCCCTCCCGCAGCTGGCAGCCCCGGCGGGGTGGCACCGCTCCGTGGCAGGCAGGAGGGTGAGCAGCCACCGCGGGGTGCCAGAAGCAGGCGCGGCGGGGCCGTGGCGAGCGAGAGGCCGGCTTTTTCTGGGACGCCGTGCCCCCGAGCTGCGTGTTGGAGGAGACAAAGCACTCACCTGCCAACCAGCCTGAACCACGGGAAGCGGTCGTAGAAGGGATCTCCGCCGGTCACCACGTTGTCACAGTCCTCGATGACGCTCGAAGGCACTTCTGCTGCACGGTCGTACATCTCGCGCATTAGGTCCAGGCGCTGCCTGCGGGCACAGGGACACCGGGTGGCTGTGAGAAACCAGGCCGGGGCCAGCCAAGCCCTCCCCCTCTAAGTCAGCCCGGTGTGGGCATTTCTCGCCCTACCTGAGCTTCTCCAGGGTCCAGTAATGCGTTGCCCCGTTTTTCTGGTCCTGCACCTCCACAGCCACGATGGTCCGGGGGAACGGCCGCTTCTCCCGGTCCTTGGCAGCATCAGGAGGCAGCAGGTCGGGAGGGAGGGGCGAGTACAGCGTGTCCGTCAGGAGGACAAACTGGAACTGCACCTGGAAGGGGGGAACGAGGGATGGCGACCTTGCCAAAAGGACCATGGCACCGTCAGCCTGAGCTGTCCCTGGCATGTGCCCAAGCAACACCCAACCACGCACACTCCTCTGGCTCAGGGCTCTGCTGTGGGTGCCACGCAGTCACGGAGCAGCCGTAGGACCAGGCTGATCGCCAGAGGAGGAGGACTGCTCACCATCCTAACAGGAAAACTAAAAGTGGCCTTCAGCAGGCTCTAACAGAGGACAAGGAGGGGCCCTGCAGCAGGGCTCACCCTGAGATGTGGCATGCACTAAACACAGGAACACTTCAAAAGGCAGGCTCAGAAATTTGTGCAAGAACTGTGCAGGGTTAAACACAGAAACGCTGCCCCTGGGCGAGGAAACTCCCTGAGTCCTGAGTGAGGGGCAGCCAGCCCTGCTTCCCCCTTGGCCTCTGCCCTTCCCGTGCTGCTGGAGCCACTTCTCTCAGGCTTCCCAGGCATCGCCGCGTGGGGACATGCTCAGCTGTGTGACGGGGATGTGCTGCAGCCACCCGCTCTGGACTCTTAGCTTCCTGCCAGGACACAGCTTTGAGCCCACTGGCTAAGCCTGCAGGGGCGAGCAGCAGCACCGTGCGCCCTGCAAAACCCCAAGGGACTCGCTCCCAGCAACGCCGTGGCGGTGGCAACCAGAAGCTTTGGCCGGCAGCAGCAGGCACCCACCTTTTTCTTCAGCTCCACACTGATGGCGTTGGCTTCCTTGAGGAAGATGGCGTTGCCCCACAGCAGGTCACGGAGGGAGGTGAACTGGTACCACTTCCACTTTCTGAAGGCCCAGAGGGCGAGCTCGAACTCCCGCTCCGTCCACTGCACTGTGGGACACAGGGGGACAGTCACCACACACACCCCATGGCCAGGAGGAGGACACGGCACAGAGGTGCCTGGTACACAGCACTGCTTCCCACAAGGAGCCCCTGCGCCCCACCGCGGTGCCGTGGAAGCAACGGCAGTGCAGCTCTGCCCTACCTGCCAGCACCTGCTTGGCCGTCAGGCAAAGGAGGTGGGGAAGGGGTTCGGGTGCAATGATGGGCAAACCCATCACAAAAATCCCTCCCGGTGACTTCTTACTGACTCACCGAGGTGCTCTGCAGCCAGCTGTTGCACTGAGGTTTTTTGTTTGGTGTTTTTTTTGGTCGTTATTCTAAAATCCATTCTCCTACCGATTTTCTGGCTGTTTTTTACCCTCCCCAAATGCCTCTGCAGGTAATGTCAGCGCACAGCACGCAGCACAGCCAGGCTGCCCACCCAACTCCTTTCACCCCTCCTTCCTCACCAAGCACTCACCTTCATCTTCAGGTTCTTCTTCTTCCTCATTGGCCTCAGGGTAATACCTGGAGTCCATCTGCTTCTGCAGAGCCTCCAATTTGCTCTCATAATCCTGGGAAAAGCAGGGAGAATGATGCAGCCCACAAAATGTGATCTTCAGCCAACCTCTGCACATCCCTCCTCCCCCTGCAGCCTCCTCCCTCCTCCGGGTCCACATGGATGGGCAGCCCCAGGAACAACGTGGGGGTTTGCTGTCATCTTGAAGATGCACTGAGCCACCCCACAAAAAATTCTGCTGGGGTTTGGTGGTGCTCAGGGAGCCTGAGGAGGAGCCAGACGTGGCCACCTACCAGCCTCTGCTGCTCCAGAAGGTAATTGGCCTCCTCCCTCTCCCGCCGGTACTGGTCCTCCAGCTCCTGCAGCCTGGGAGGAGCAGGGAAGATGGGGATGAGCGACCCGGGCTCCTTCCTTCCCCTTCCTCCCAGCCCCAGCCCCAGCTCCCCACCTCTGCTCCATCTCCTGCTTCATGTCGATGCCCTGCTTCTCCAGCAGCTCTCTCTGGGCAAATGCCCAGTCCACGGGCTCGGCGGGCGTCTCCGCGCACGGGGTCCGCTCCCGCTCCTGCCGGGCCTGCTCGGGGTGGTTGAAGCGGAAGACGTGGCTCTTGCCCATGATGATCCGGTTTCCTGCGGCGGGGACAAGGGCTCAGGTTTAGGGGCAGGGAACCCATGCGGGGTGGCGGGCCGGAGCACCCTTCTGGGGACCCACCTGACCGCAGGACGCTGGGCTCCGTCACCTTTTTGCCATTCACGTAGGTGTCGGCGCCTTCGCAGGGCTCCAGGGTCACAATCACTGCGTGACAAGCAGCAAGTGGAGGGGCAGCCCCGGGGCCCCGGGCACATCCCCACCACCACAGGCAACAAACGGGGCTGGCAGCAGCGCTTGGCCAACCTCACGTCAGCCACAGCAGGCCCCGGGACTAAGAGGGCGGGATGAACCCTCCCAGGTCCGGGATGAGCCTGGGCAGCTGGAGCCCCTCGGGACAAGCAGTACCTTCACCGCCCGTCCTTGTGTCGCTGCGGAAGAGGCAGTGCTCTTCCTTGATGAAGTGCCCGCTGAGAACAATGTCCTGCCTCTTCTCCGCATCTTCCCGACCAACCCTGCCGGGGGACAGACAGCTTGAGCCGGCTCCTGTCCTTCCTCAAACCAGCCCCTCCTTGAGGCTCCAGCCAAAAATACCCTCTGGGCTTGCCCCAAGCAGCCCTTGGTGCACGGCGAGACTAATGTCCCCCGTGAGATTGCCCCGGCCACGCATTTTTCCCAAGCAGCCACGCCACTCTGGGGATGCCCGGGGAAGGTGCAGGAGGGCAGGTGCCCAGCAGCACTGAGATACGGGCTCTGCAGGAGCCGGCCCTCACCTGGTGATCCCGTCCTTGATGTAGTAGAGAAGGCACTCAGACATGAGCGGGTCCTCGTTCAGGTTGACCAGGTGGGGTGTCTGGGGGAGGCAAGGACACAGTCACCCCGGTGCACAGCAACCCCCCCAGCCTCACCACGGGGCCCCCAGCTCCTGCAGCTGCCTCAACCTAACCCAGCGTGGAAAAATGAGGGCTGGACTCCAACTCTGCACCTCTCCACGCTTCCCTGCTTTCCTCTTCCAAGGACCGAGGTCTGGGCAGCTTTTCCTTGGTTGTTTGGGAAAATTCCTGTTGTAAGCAGGCCCAGCATGGAGCTGGGAGCTGTACAGGAGGTTTACGGAAGGTGAGACAGAGACTCTTCCTTTCCAGCAGCTGTTTCAGGATAAGAGGAACTAAAAGCCCCTGTTTCCCTCCACGGATGACACGGGGACAGATGAAGCACCCAAAGGAGCAGGTCCCAGCCCGGAGATTCATCCAGAGACCTGAAGCCTTGCCCCAGGTTGGCTTGCACTCCCTGCTCTCCCTCCTGTGGGTTCCCTCCCACGAGCCACAGCCTCTTTGCTTCTGATGAGAGGGAATTTACTCCCGGGGCCACGGAGCCCTCTGACCACAGCCCGCTTGGCTCGTCCCACTGCCAGCGGCTGCGATCGCGCCTCCAACCAGCAGCAAAGTCCTGGGAGCATCAATGGGTGAAGCTCAGAGTTTCCCAGAAATAAGAGACACGGGAAGAAGTGTGGTATCAGCCTGCTGGCACCCAGCATGCAGAGGTGTCCCCGTCAGGAGAAACCCTGACGGCTGCAAGGGACTCACTCCAAACAGTGCAGGAGGGGAAGGGGAACGCAGGCTGTTCTCCGTGGCGGCTGGCAGGAGTAAGGGGCCACAGCACGTAACCCGCAGACCTCTGGGCAGACACGTAGCCCCTGGGTCTGAGGGAGAAGCTCTGGGACTGTTTTAGTTTGCAATTTCACTCCAGATTTGCAAGGTTTGGGGAAACGGTCACCCCACTGATGGCATATGGCGGGGCAGCAATGCCCAGCTAGGTTTTGCTCTCAATCCAAATGTGTTTTGCAGGCTTTCAGTGCTAAATTTCCTTGCCAGCAGCTGGAGAAGTCAGGGCAGTTGTCACCCACCAGAGAGCTGAAGAGCAAGTCGGCACCAAGACCAGCACAGCAAGGCCACCGCCCAGACAAACCTGCTTTGGGGAATAAACCCCCACGCTTCCTACGCACACATCGGGGGGCCTAATGGGCAGCGGCTGCATTGGCAGATGGAAAACAAAGACAGCAGTGTAAAACCCGTCGGAAGAGCCACGTCGAGGTCCTGAAGGGCTCGTTGCTGCTTGTCCTGGCAGGGACTGGGGGCAGACCCCACTCTCCTTGCCCTGCGTGTCTCGCAGGATGCTGTCTGCCAGGGGCACTTAGCCCACTGCAGGTGAGGGGTGTCGAGGAGCAGCGGGGCTGTGCTGCTGCTGCTGGCACCTATCAGGGCTTGTGGCCAGGTGAGCTGCTGGGGGCACAGCCAGCTTTTGCTCCAAAACCCCTGAGATGCTACAAAAACCAGTGGTATTTAATGCTCCTGCGCCTTTGTTTCTTGGTGAGGACACAGGGTGACAGCACCACGCAATACCCCAGGGTGTTATCAGCTGACACCGAGCCCAGCGCAGCCAAAGTCCCTGAGGCTCACCGGTGTCCCCTGGGTGGGGACAGCATCCCCCACGTGCCAGGTGATGCAGAATGACATTGAAAATTTAGCCACATGCTTCTATCAAAACAGCCCATGGTGGATGTACAGGGGTGGCACTGAAATGTCCATCACGGGTTTCATGGCAAGGAGAGGGCAGTTAACACCTCCGGGAGCTCCAGGGAAATATTTGAGGCTGGCCAGCAGTGGCAAGGTGGGTTTGAAGGGAACTGCGTGGGTACAAACCCGCCCTCATTAGCCAGGGAAAATAAGACAATCCTACCTTTTTAGGAGAGAAAACACCCAGGGTGCCTCCGTCCTCCCTCATGGCCACCCCCATCTCGGCCAGCAAGGCTTCCCTGCAGGAGCAGCAGGAGCAGAGGTTGTCAAAGACACTCTGGACCCCGCAGCCACCCGCCACCACCCGCCACGTGTCCCCACTGGTGGTGACCCAGCCCGGGTGATGCCCCACGCCCTGCCAGGTGCTGCAGCCCTGTGCAGAGTAGCCAGGGCAGGGCTGGAGCCCACCTGGGGGTGGTGGATGGTGCCAAACTGCCCCCATCCCATCCCATCCCATCCCATCCCATCCCATCCCATCCCATCCCATCCCATCCCATCCCATCCCATCCCATCCCATCCCACGTGCCGAGAGGCTGCAGGCAAGAAGGGGGCCAGGTGCAGGGACCCCGACCCACCTCTCCATCCGGATCGCCTCTGTCCTGCGCAGCTTCTCCTCCCACGTCTCGTTCAGCTCAGCAATGATCTTCTCTGTTTCCTGGCGGGGTGAGCAGGGCTCAGCATTTTGTATGGTCCAGCGACCTGCCCACCTGGGCTGGGCTCAGCCCCCGAGGGAGCCGGCCCTGCTTTCAGGCTGCTTTCAAGGGGCTGCAGCAGTGCTGCACTCGCATTTTCCTTTCATCCCCTCGCTCTGCTGGGAGCGCTTGTCCCACAGCAAAGGCAGCCCCAGCTGGACCCTGCTGTGCCAAACCCACTCCTATCCAGGGCACGTCGTGGCTCTGGGTCCATAGGATCAGAGTGACAGAGTCTTCTGGGTTGGAAAAGACCTCAAGGTCACCAAGTCCAACCACCAGCCTGACACACCGAGCCCCATCCCTAAGCCCTGTCCCTAAATGCCACATCCACACGTCTCTTAAATACCTCCAGGGATGGTGACTGCACCACCTCCCTGGGCAGCCCATTCCAATGCCCTTTTCTATGATTTTCTATTCAGAAATTCTCCCTAATGTCCCATCCAAAACTCCCCTGACATGACTCGAGACTTTCCTCTCTTGTCCCACCACTTGTCACCCAAGAAGAGAGACCAACACCTCGCTGCAACCTCTGTTCAATTGCTTGTAGAGGCTGGGGGGCCTCCAGCAGGGTCCTCCCCACCTTCAGCTCGCTGTCCTCGTAGCCAGGCCCCCAAACTGGTGCAGCCTCACCACGAGGGGACAACCACTGCCCTGGTCCTGCTGGCCACGCTGTTTCTGACGCAGGCCAGGATGCCACTGGCCACTTTGGCCACCCGGGCACAGCGCTGGCCCACACTCGGCTGGCTGCTGAGCAGCACCCCCGGATCCTTTTCTGCTGGGCAGCTTTCCAGCCACTCTCCCCCGAGCCACAGCGGGGTTGTGGTGCCCCAGGCGCAGCACCTGGTACCCAGCCGTGCTGGATGTCGTGCGGCTGGATGCGGCCCAGCTCGTCCCGGTCCCTCCGCAGAGCCCTCAGGCAGATCGCCCAGCCTGGCAGCCCTCCATCCGCTGGCTTCCAGAGGGAGGAGAGGAGCAGAAGACGCCAGCCTCCTACCTTAAGCCTTTCGATGGCCTCTTCGCTGCCTGGAGCAAACATGATGCGCTCGTGGAGGCTGGCAACGGAGGCGGCGCGGCTGGAGAGAGCTGACAGGGAGGAAGAGGGGCTGATGCCGGCAATGGCGTTGGTCACTGTGGAGAGATTGTCATGGCGTTGGCTCAGCTCTGCCCCGCTAGTGCCATTATTGTTCTCAAAGTCGGACACATCTACGGGCGGGGAAGGAGAGGGACGGGACGGGAGGAAGACACAAGGGCAGGAAGAAGGAAGAGAGAGAGAGAAAGAAGATAGAGACAAGAAAAGCTGTTGGGAAAAAAAAAAAAAAGTGGCAAGAAGAAAGGCAAAAATCAAAAGGAAAAGGCAGAGCATTGGCAGAGCAGGCCAGCAGCAGGGCACGGCTCCCATGCCTCGGCCCCAGGCCCGGGACTGTTGTTGGCAGCAGCACCTGGGAGCCCTTCCTGGCCCATGGGGGTGCTTTGTGGCAGCACAGGGTGCCCAAACTGCCCCTCTCAAGCACCCAGAGCTGCCCTGAGCAAGAGCTCCCCTATCTGCAGTACGCTCTTGCCATTTGTCCCAGTGTCAGAAATGCTGTTCTGGCCCCAAGAAGTCGCAGTGAGCAGGAGATGGGACAGGGGCACACGCTCCCGGTGGCAGCCCAGCCCGTGGCAGCAGGGACGCAGCCTCCAGCAGCCCGGGCAGGTGCCGGGTGCCGTCTCCCAGCGGGATGCTTGCAGCCACTTCCACTGCCCAACACAGATAGGTCGGGATCCCTCACCTGGGGGCCACCGCTTCTAGGGGACAGCCAGCTCCTGATGGAGAACAAGAGCCCCATCACTTCGTGGAGCCCCCCTGCCTCCAATTCGTCCTGTTCCTCCGATGCCCCCCGAATGGCCCTCAGCAGGACTGGTCACTGAGGTGTCCCGAGGCCACTCGCACCACGCTGTGCTTTGCCTGGCGCTTTTTTTTCTCCCAGGAGCACGGACCGTGCCCGCACAAGCAGCGCCAGCAGCAGCAACCAGCCCAGCAGCAGCAAGAGCAGCAGCAGCAGAAGCAAGGGGAAACACAGTGACAGCATGGGAGCGCGGGGCTTTTCGGTGAACGCACCGCTGGCGCCCTGCCTGGCAGATTTGCAGGGCCTCACCCCTGTCCTGGGCTTGGCGAGGGCATGGGCGCAGTGCAGAAATGTCCCTGTGCCACCCGTCCCCCCAGCGGGGCACCAGGCTCCACTGCTGCCCCTTCGCTAGCGCCCTGTGGCCAGCTCTCGCTGCCCTTTCCCATGCTGCACGCATGCTCCTCGGCACAGCCTGCGCCTCCCAAAAAGCAGAGAAGCAACACAGAATACCAGTGATGGGGAATACACACATTTGGATCCTTCCGCAGCAGGATGGGCTAAGAGAGAGAGAGGGCAGGGAGCAGGGGGGAAGACAAAGAAAACAGAACAAGAGTGGGTTCATCTCGGTAGGATTCATGGCAGCCTGAAAGCACGGGGAGGAGAGGACACGGACTCCGAGCATCCTCCTGGCACCTCGGCCGGGCACCCTGCAGGATGCTGGCAGTGGGAAACGGGGAGGGGCAAGGGGGCTGCCGGGGCAAAGCAGCTCCTCTGGGACAGGCACACGTGTGTGCAGGGCCTGCTGGGGGCGTCCCAGCAGGGGTGGTGGCAGCGGGGGACGCAGCCGTGCCCCCTGCTGCATGGCAGGGCAGACAATGAGATGGCCGAGGTGCAGGGCAGGACACGGGGTGGCTCTGGGGACGTCCCCTCCGAGACACCAGCCTGCCTCTGCCCAGCGCCGCCCTGGCGCGGTACCTACTGTCAATGATGTCCCCGAGACCCTGGGCGTAGAGAAGGTCACGCAGACGGGCCACCTCGTCCTTCAGCTCCCGGATGAGCTTGTTGTTGGGGTCCTCGTTGATGACGGCGTTGCAGCGGATCTGCTTGGCGCGGTCGGCATACCTGGGGAGAGGCACAACCCTGAGCAGCTGGGTCCCGAAACCTCCCGTGCCCTCGTCTAGCTCTCCATCTGGGGCCTACCTTAAAGTGCTGAGGGTCTCGTCGTAGTTGATGTCGGCGGGGCTGAGTGCAGCGACCATGGCGGTCCTGGAGTTGCCCCCTGCACGGAGAGATGCCAGGCTTCAGCAGGGCGGCTGTCCCTGCGGGGACCCTCGCCCCCTGCCATGCCCCCCTGTGCCCGTGTCCTCACCCAGGTTCTCCCGCAGCAGCCAGGTTAGCACCGAGTCTCGGTAGGGGATGAAATCTGTCTTCTTCTTCTTCTTGTTCTGGGGAGAGAGAGCGGAGGGATGGGCTGCCAGGCTGCTCGCTCTCCCCCAAGCAAACACCGTGACTGGTGCCAGCCTGTCCCCAACCACAGGTGGGCACCTGCAGTGGCACCTCACCCCTAAAGGGCTCGTCGCAAACCACCCCGTAACCCACTCCCACCCTTGCAAACCCAAACCCACCCAGCCCTGCCCGAGCACATACCTTATTTGGCCCTGAATCCTGCAAAGAAAGCAGAGAGACTGCTTAGCTCTGGTGCAAACAGAAGAGAGCAGCGGGGAGGGAGGTGACAGCGAGCTGCTCCCCTCCTCTTCACCCAGCACAGGACCCCAGGTGCTCCATCCCTGGGAGCTGGGAGCTTGGGTGCTCCATCCTGGGCAGCCGGGCGCCCCACCCCCCCTCCAGGTACCTACCATTTCGGCCAGAGCAGAGATGACTTTCCCCAGCGTGGTCAAGGACTTGTTGATGTTTGCTCCTTCCTGGTGGAGAGACCAAAAGCCCAGATCCTCAGGCCCTGTTTCAGAGCAGCGCTAAAGCCCGGTGCACCGAGAGGATGGAGAAGCCCCAGCACAGGGCGGGCAACCAGCAACTGGTCTTACTGGGCGACCAGCACCTCCCAGCTGGGGCTTGCGGACCCTGCTGGCACTGGCACTGGGCAACTCTCAGACAAAACACCGCTGAGAAGTGGCAGTTTCCAATGCAGCGTGCAAGGAATCAGGCAGGGAAAGGACAAGCGGCACCCAGGGACCCGTGCCATGCTCTCACCTTCAGCCTCGTGCCCTTCGCGCCGGTGGAGTCAGCTCGCTCGCTGCCAGCCAGGTCCACCAGGCTGATTTTGCTGACCTGCGGGCACAGACAGCAGCTGTGGCAGGCTTGGCTCATGTCTAGTGTGTGGGCAAACTGTCCCCCACCACGGAGCTGCACCATCAGCAAGGTGGGAGGAAACACCTTCAGCAACCGTGAGCCCGCTCTGGAGGCAGAGGTGGGTTTGGCCAGAAGCAGGGCTCACATTCCCACCAGCAGGGGCAGTGGCCACACGGGGCCAGAGATGTCCCTCCATGGTGGTCTGGGAGCCCAGCATGTGGCTGGGACTTAACCCCATCACGTTTCAGCCCCCCAGCAGCCACACGGTGTCCCCCCACAGGCACTGTGGCACACGGAGCCCTTGCAGCGTTCCCCTGGGGCTGTGCCCTCACCTTCTCGGTGGTGATGTCCGTCTCGGCATCGTGTCGCTTCTGGGTGAAGATGATGTTGAAGACGGCGTGTGAGCGGCTGCTGGTCTCGTTCATGTTGGTGGCAGCCACCGTGCTGCGGGGAGAGGAGGGCAGAAGGTGTGACACTCTGCAGGGGACTGGGGACAGGTTCAGGACAGGGAAGGTGATGGGAAGGCCACTGCAGCCAGGAGAGGACTCTGGGCTCCAGGAGTCAAATCGGGTGACATCCTGCCTTGCCTGGGGACCTTAGGCCCTGCCCACAGCACCGGGGACACAAGCTTCAGCCCACGTGTAGGTGCCTGGGGACACCCTTTGGGGACATCTGGAAGCCCTTCAGATCCTGGTGTTCTCCCGCTCCCCCACTCACCGGGCCTTGTTCCCTGAGTCCATGAGATCCTGGATGTCATTGTAGGAGGTCACAGCCAGCTTGGAGAGGTCCTCGACATAGGGCCCCATGAGGGGATGCTCCCTCACCCGCAGGTTCCCCTTGTTCTTGGGGTTCAGGAGGTCTCTCACCCGCTCGCAGTATATCTCCATGTAGCTCACCTGGGGACGGCACACGCGGGGCTCTGGGTTTTGCTCAGAAGTAACACACGGCCGGGCACACGCTGCCGTCATGCCAGGCCTCCACCAGCCCATCCTGCCCCCGGGAAGATCGGGCTGGAGCAGGCAGGAGGCGCGGTGCCTTACCTCCACGGAGTAGGACATGTTGTCGTTGGTCGTGTCGTTGATGCGGGAGAAGAGGTCCTCGCACAGCTGTGGGGGAAAGAGCCAGGCTGCTCAGCCCCTGAGCAGAGGGATGCTCCACTCCGGGGCACACAAGCCACGAAGATTTCCACCTTCTTGCCCCAAAAGGCAGAGCAGCAGCGATGGGACAGCTCTTGGCGGGGTGGCAGGAAGGGCCCTGGTAATGTGGAGGGGACCAGCACCCGCAGAGCCTCTCCCTGCTTGGTAGGGACTTGGGCACAGTCCCTTGCTCACACTGCCCGACCAAACCTCTGCCCTGGGGCCTGGGTGAAGCTCCCCGTGGTGTCCCCTGACCTGCAGCTCATCTTCCCTGCTTGTCCTTCCCTCCCAGCCACCCTTTTCCCTTGTGCACCCCGCTGAGGTCAGGGGGAGCCTGTCTCCAGGCGGTACCTGTGGGATGATGCCTTGCTGGTCCTTCTCCTGCTTCCCCATCATGGTGTAGGATTTTCCAGCCCCTGTCTGCCCGTAGGCAAAAATACAGACGTTATAGCCTTCGAAGGCATGCTGCAACATCTCCTCGCCGATGTCCCGGTACACCTGCTTCTGAGATGCATAATTGATGTCTGCAGGCTGTGGAGAGGAGAGAGGGGCGATCAGAGGAGGCCATCCTGCTGCATCCCAGCCCCGTTGCGGGCTCCAGCCAGGCTCTGGCTCCCCGCCGCTTACCGTGGTGTGGGACCAGTAGGAATAGTCAAAGCTGAAGCTTTTCGGTGTCTCTTTGGGTTGCTTCGGGTTCAGGATGGCTGGGGACAGAGAGAGGGATGTGAGGGAACCGGGTGGTACCATCGCCTCCTGCATCCTGGGCAGGCTGCGACAGGGCTTGGTGCCAGACAGATCCCCGTGGGCTGGAAATCAGGATGGGGTCCCTCCAGCTCCACCGTGGGGGCCAGGGAGAAGGGCAAAGGCTCTCCAAAATGCCCTGGTGAGCGTGGTGCAGGGAAGCTGCTCCTTCCCTTGGGCTGCCTCCTGCTCCATCACGCACCCGCAGCAGCGCCGTGGGGACAGCCCCCGGCACGGAGGTCCCAGCCCTCCCTGGGGGGCATGAGTGGGGCAGGAGCAGCCACAGGGGCTCTGCCTCCTGCTTGCTCCGTGTTTTATTTTCAGTACCTGATCTCCCCGCAGCAGCAGGGTGATTAATGCCCTGTGTTAAACCACCAGCGGAAACAAGAGCCTGCTTTTTCCCATCCCCTGGTGAAAAGGACGTTGCCATGGAAATTGGAGACTGCATCTCTCCTCTTTCTCACTCGTTCGATGCCTTTTTTTTTTTTTTTTTCCTCTCCACCCTGTAGAGTGTTTATGATGTTTTTCTTTTTTATTTCTGAAATAACAGGCACTCGGAGAGATGCGTCAGAAGAAACCCAAAGCAGCAGGGCAGTCACGGGACGCGGCGCTCAGCCATCTCCGGTGACATTGGAACGCCCTTGTGGGTTGGGAGGGGTGCCACGGCCCCAGCCAGGCTGCTTGGGGGGCTGGGGGGGCGCAGTGCCCACCAGAGGGGCACTCAGCTCCCTGCAAGGGCCTGCCAGGGCACAGAGGTGGCAGCAGGACCAGGGTGCCCCCAGCCACCGCCACGGTGCTGGGGCTTTGCCGAGCAGCTGGAGGAGCCACACAAATTCACCCTGTATCACAGCGTCTCCCCCAGGGTGGACGCTCGGCTGCTGTCCTGCTGTGTGTCCATCCACAGCCCCCCCAGCATGCCAGCAGCGTGCCCTGCCTGCACCGAGGCACACGGTGACCCAGCACACTCCTGCTCGGGATGGTTGGGGAAAAAAAAAAATACACGGCTTGTTCCCCTGCGCTCCGTACAGGCTGGGTCCTAAATTAATGATGAAGCCTGCCCACGAGTGCCAGGGTCGCTAGGGAACGGGCTGGGCTGTATCAGATGGACAAGCATGTCCCTGAGCATGGAGGTGACAGAGGAGGTGAGGGGACAGGAGGAGAGCTGCCACCGCTCCTGGCTGCTGGTCCCAGCACGCCGACACGCACTCACTGTGTGCAGGGTCCTGTGCTGGCCAGGACAGACAGGGTGACACTGGCCAGGACAGACAGGGTGACACTGGGCTGTACGTCTGCAGCCGGACCAGAGCCAGAGGCTGGCTGTAAAGGCCAGCAGGGTGGGGAGCGGGGTCAAGACCAAAAACCGCAGCAGGGAGCTGCTGGCAGCCAAAGCTCACGGCCAAAGCCCAGGCTGCACCTTGAGGAGAAGCTCAGACATCCCCCGAGCCGCCACCAGGCGCAGGTCCCTGTCGAGACCCAGACCTGGGTGGCACCGTGCCTCCCCTGGGGCCGGGGATCACCCACCCATGTGCAGGGCCCCTCTGGGCAGAGGTGGCTGCAGGGGCAGGCAGAGCATCTCCGGTGTCTCCGGGATGGGGAGGCTGCTGCCGGCACCGGTGCCGTCTGTGCCGGGCACGGGGCTGAGGAGGGGCCGGGGATGGCACCGAGCGGCTCCGGGTGGCAGCCCCAGCTGCAGCTGCCCGGGGGGGCTGGGAAATGGAGGAGAGGAAGCGTGCCACAGCCTGCTGCGTGTCCCCTCCCGTCCCCGAAGCTGGGGCGCTCTCCGTGCCCCTTTCTTTCCTGGTTATTTGCCACTGAGTGGATGGGTGCTGCCGGGGGGCTTTCCCTCACCGCCCGTCCTGGTACTGCTGGAACCCCACCTGTGTGTGGGGACCCTGGGGTTTCACACAGCTGGAAGGGGGAAAAAGGAGGTGGGGAGGAAAGAGAGACAAGAGAGAGAGGAGGAAAACATCTGGAGATATCCCTGGGCTTTGTGACAAACAAGGGACGAGTATTGAGCAGGATAAAGCAGAAAAACTACACGGAGAGAAAATCATCGTCATATTTTAAATCCCTGTGTCTCGCCATGACAACTAACATCTCACAAGGCCCCAGGCTAGAATAAAACCCTGGAGAGCAAATGTTGGAGGGGGGAGAAATGCCTGGAAAAACGCCTGGGCTGGCAGCACCGGTGGCCAGGCTCCCCCTGCCCCCGGCTCCCAGACCCCCGCCATTCAGCGCCGTGCTCGCCCTGGGGGACGCGGCTCCAGCCGGGGAATATTAATGTGCTCATGGGAAGGAAGCCGGGGTGTCCCCCCCCGCCCCGTTCCCTGCAGCACCGCCACAGGAACAAAGCAGCAGTGTTGGTGGGTGGGTGGCCACCGCGAGCCAAAGGGGGCGGCGGCTGGAAATTTGGGGGAAAAAAGGGCTGCAGAGAAGGGTTGGCTCCTTCCCCCCCCTCAGCTCCCTTCCCCAGCCGCCCCCTGCGCCCGGCGGGGCTTAATTAATTACGCCGAATGAATTATGCAGAGCACAGACCCCTTCCAGCCACGCCAAGGGGATCAGCCCGGGCTTTGTCGATTCATCCATCACTCAGCGGCTGCAGCGGGGGAGAAAAACCTCACAGTCAGCAAAGGGCCAGCTGGGAGCTGCGGCCGTGGCACCCACACTGGAGGGGGGGGACGTGCCCAGCTGAACGGCTGCCACGCTCCGAACCTGATCCTTCTTGCACCCCGGGGACCCGCCAGACGTCCCCAGCACGTCACGCTCGAGCATCCTCGCCGGCGGCACGGGGGTGGCTCGCGCCGGCGGCGGTGACGCAGGAAGCTCCAAGCCCCGCGGGCGGGCGGGAGTTATTTTAGATGCCATCCCATCTGGAGGCTTTCACAGCCAAAGAGAAGGGCCGCGGCCACCATTTTCACCACCAGCACCTACGGCTTGTTATTTAAAGAGGGGTCGATCCCCGCTCCAAACCCCTGATCCTGAATCGCATCCGCGCGGGGACGGGGCGTGCGCTCTCCTGATCCCCACCCCAATACCCTGGTTTATGGGGGTGGCCCCGTGAGGGTACTCACTGGTGGTGCTTCCCGACATCTGGATGATGCATTTGGACTCCCGGCTCATCTCCCGGGAGTTGAAGGGCCGCACGCGCACCGCCACCTTGACGGACGCTCCCGCCATCGCGCCAGCCGGAGGTGGTGCTGCTATCGGGGAGCGGCGGCTGTCCTGCGGGGGGGAGAGCAGGGGGTTAGGAGAGCTCGCCTCTGAACCCCCCCAGATGGAAAAATGGGTGAAAGGCTGAGCCCAAATCAAGCCAAGAGGATGGGGTTTCCAGTAGGACTAAGCCCTTTGGGACGCCAGCATTGGTGCCTGCCAGCCATGCGCCCTGTGGTGCCCCTTTTGGGTTCCCACAGCTGGGGACAGGGCTGTAGGGCACAGCCAGCATCACACAGCCCCCCACGGGCAGTTCTTCCACTGCTTGTCCCCACAGCCCTATGCCCATCCCCAGAGCCTCCTGCCTCCAGCCCCTGCACGGCAGGACCACGGGGAGGAAAACCGGCACATTTCGGCTCAAGGGCAGGAGGCTGACGGACAAGGTCAGACTGGATGCTCCTCGAGGTTTTTTCTAACCTGAGCAATTCTGTGACCCTACAGCAAATGTTTCTGTTTGCCCATCCGTGCAGACTGACGGCCCCGACGTCCTGCCCTGCGCCGCAGGCTGGCACTCAATAGCTATTTTCCACTTAATCTAGCTAACCCGACGATCAATTATCTCACCAAGCAAGGGGCAGCTCTGCCAGCAGAGCCCCAAAAGCCTCCAGGAGCGGGCGGGAGATGGCACGAGGGCAGCACAGGGGCAGGGGCAGGGAGGAAGGGGCAGTGCCTGCGGGAGATGCACGGGGCAAGCACTGGCACAGTTCTGGTTCCTTGAACCACATCGAGTGGCAGCCAGAGCAAGGCAGATGGGTCCTCCTCTGATGGCCTTTCCCGTGGCACAAGTGAAAATACAGCTCAATTTGTGGAAAATACGGAAGAAAGAAAAACCCACAGAACAGCCCCAGGAGACGGGAACCGCTTTGAAAACAGCTGGGTCTTGTCAGTTTGGTTTTCGGTCCCAAAAAGGGGAAAAAAATAAATAAATAACAACAGATATGCTCTGCCCAACAGCAGGTAGATTCATGGTGCAATGGAAAATTTGCAGCCAGAAAGTGGGGGCAATAAACAAAAAGGAATAAATAAATAAATAAATAAGCATAAATAAGCATATTTGTTCGTTTATTGGGGGTTGTTTTGGTTTGGTTTGGTTTATTTTCTGTGAAATGACACCGATACATGGCTGGGTGGAAGGGCTGCCGGGCCATTTCCCCCTGCAGCCCCCTCCAGCCCCATTTTTCCCCCCCAGGTGCTCTCCTCGCCGCGTGGCCTCGTGCCGCAGCCATCCCTCCCCACGTGCTGTGCTGGTGCCCCTCGGTCCTGCCGGCTCGGGGTCCCACCCCAACCTGCCCCTGGCCTCATCCTCGACCTAAAACCGCGCCTTCTGCTCCCCCACAGCCCCGTGCCCAACGTGAGCTGACTGCTCCATCCACCTCCTCGCCTCGCCGCCCGCCCCAGCCCCGTGCCCGCTGCGTTGAAGCAGCCCGGGCTCCATTTTCTGCCTCAAGCCGCTCCATCCATTTCCTTCGGCTTCCTCAGCTGCCAGCGCAGCCTCCCCCTCGCCCCGCTGCGCCTTGGCGGTCCCAGCGCTGCCATTCTCCGACCCGCGGCAGCGAGACAAAGGCTGCCTGTGCCTGAGCCAGGCTGGCGCCGGGCCGCAGCCCCTCTGCGGGCCTCCCCCTCCCCGTCATTTGGGGCGGGGGTCTCCGGCCAGCTGTGGGGACACACTGCCATGGGGCTGCCCCATAGGGAAGCCCGATGGAGCTGAGATTCCCCAGCAGGGCTCGCCGCTCCCATCACCCTACAGAGAGAGGTGGGTGCGTGGCGGTGGGGAGCACCGCATCCAGCCCCCCCTCGGCCAGCCAGCGACTCACGGGGCCGGGTTGGCAGCCGGAGCGTGGTCCCTGCCCAGGGAGGGTCAGCCAGCGCCCGCTTTAATCCGCCGTCGAGAGAAATTCAATAGCGCAGCCGGGCGGCGCTGGGAGCTGATCCAGCAGCCTGCTCCCCGCGGCATCGGGGTGGGAGGCACTGGAGGGAGCCCCCCATGGGGTCACCGCGGCTGTGTGGCGCATTCCCCCCCCGGTAAACCTCCCTCTTGGCCACCCGAGGGCTAGGAAGCAGCAATTAATGGGATCGGCTAAGATTAATTGGGCAGGGATAAGCCAGAGAGGGCTCCCGTAATCCCGAGGATGCCCGCGCCAGCCCTGCCCCACCCCACCCTGCCACCACCGCCAAGGTGACCAGCGGGATGGGGCGCGCTGTCCCCCTGCTGCCACCCGTCCCCCGGTGCCACCCGCGGGTAGCACCTCCCTGCAGGAACGCCGTGGGGACCTGCCACAGCCCCTTCAAGGAGCACCCCGTCCCCTGGGTGCCGCAGGGTGCCACCGGTCCAGCCACAAAAGGCTCGCCCCTCCCTAGCCCTGCGCCCCCCTGGGGTCCCTGCCCTCCCTCCGGGGACCCTCCCCACGGGGCTGCTGCTCCCGCCGTGATGTGACACAGCAGGGGACCGGCCACCCGCCCCTCCCAGCTCGATGGCAAAGCCCCCGTGCTGTCCCTGTCACCAGGCCTGTAGGATTTGCTTATTTATTTATTTTTCCCCCTTATGGCGGGGTTGCGCAGCCTCCACCCTGAGGGCCGTGGGAAGCATCTCCCCTCCATCCACCCACCCTAAAATCAGCCCCAGTGCTCCCCCTGCTCCTGGGGGGTATTGGGGCAGCGTCCTCACCCCCCAGACCCCGCTGGCAGCAGGATACCCCCGCTGCCCATCCCTGCTCCCTCCGCGCGAGGGGCCGTGACGATGCAGTTTTTCGCCCTGCGGCACCACGCGGGCTTGGGCAGCGCCCGGAGGCGAGCTGAGCCCCGTGGGGACAACACGGGGCCGATGGCTTTGTCCCCACCGCCTGCCACCTGTCCCCATCCTCCTCGCCACCCCGGTGCGGGACACGGCGTTGGGGCAGCCTCGTGCCACCTGCACCCTGCATGGCTGAAATCAGTGGGGGCACCGCTAATGGGGTTTCTCCAGCCCCATGAGGCTGCGGACACCACCATGGGGGGACACCAGGTGCTGGCACCCCCCGGGGAGCTGCAGCCACCGGTGGGGACTGGGGGTGGCGTGCGTGTCACCACGGTCACCCCCTCCCCTACCAAATGGATGTCTGGGCAGGCGGACACCCAGACAAGGGGCTCTGTGGGGTGTGTGGGGATGGGGACAAAAGGGGGCTGAGCAGCGGGGCCGTGCCGCAGCCCCCACCCCACAGGTCCCCCCCTCGATGTGGTGGCCCTCCCTGATGCTGTCCCCAAGGTCAGCAGTGGTGGCATCTCGTCCTTGCCGTGCCCTCCGCCACCGCCGTTCACTCTGGAGCGGAACGAGGGCGGGATGGCGGCCCCAGCCCCAGCCACCTGCTGTGGGGGGGCAAAAAAAAAAAGCATCAGGCGGCTGATGCTGGGCTGCGAGCCCGTTACCGGCACCAGCAGGGCGGGGAGCACGGGGGGCATCACCCCACACCCCCCCACACGGGATCCTTCTGGAAGCCGGGGCGGCTCCCCCTCAGCCTCCCCCCGCTGCCCGCAACATGGCCGCCGCCCCCACACCCCCCTCACCCCCCTCACCCCTCAGCATCCCGGGGGGGGGGGGCAGCGCGGTGCCGGTGCCACCGGGCACAACGGAGCGCTCCCTCCTCCTCCCGCCGCCACCGTCACCACAGCCCCTACCTGTGCCCGGTGCAGCTCAGCCGCGGGCGGGGGGGGCCGGCATGGGGCCGCGCCGTGAGGAGCGCTGAGGAGCGGGGCCGGGGCTGCGGCTGCTGCCGGTGGCGGTGGCGGTGCGGGAGGTGCCGGCCCCGCCCCTGCGGCCCCGCCCGGCCCCGCCCCGCCCCCGCGCGCCGATTGGGAGCTGATTGGGGGGGGGGGAGATGGGGGGGGGTCGGGGATGGAGCGGTGACGTCAGCGCAGCCCCCCCCCCCCCACACAGGCACTGAAGGGTTCGCGCTGCGGAACCGCCGCAAGGGCGAGGGGAGGGGCGGGGCCTCCCGTGTTGCCATGGCAACCGTTACCATGGCAACCGTTACCATGGCAACCGGTACCGCCATAGCCGTTACTATGGCGACCATTGCCCTCCATCTCCATTTCAAGGCCCATAGGCCTGGGCCCAAAGGCCCGTCCCTGTCACCAGGTGGCAGAACAGCAAAGGCCTCCGATGGCTGTGGCAGCAGAGGGGCCCATGGTGCAGCAGTGGGATCAGTGAAGGAGCCCGCAGCTCCCTCACTGCCTGGCCACCCACACGGGTCTGGCTGTGGCCCCACACGGCTCTGTAAGGCCTCAGAGGCTGCAGCCAGGTGCCGAGCAATCCCACTGCCACCTTGGTGTTTTTAGTAGCAGGGTCCCACACCTTGACCTCAGTTTGGTCCCATATTTCAGGCTCATAAACTGTCCAATTGTTGGTAAGGAGAATGAGCTGTAAGGTTCCCAGGACAGTCTGTGTTCCTAAGGACGTATGGGCTTTCCGACCCCCATGGCCACACTCCCACATCTCCCCCTTCTTTATTAATATCACCCATTTTCTAGAAGCAAACTACCACTCCATATATAACGATGGCAACAGCCCCTCTCAGGGCACGGGGCCGTTTCATGGTAGCCATGCGGTCGCCGTGCTCAGTGGACGTTTGGGCAACCCCAACAGGGAGGGTGCTGGGGCCGCAGGCCGGTGCTGGTGGCACATTAACCGGGCTGCGAGGAGGCCAGGGCAGAGTCCGTGCTGCTGGGGGGAGCGCCACAGCCTGGGGTCAGGGTCCGGGGGGACACAGAGAGCTGCTGGCAGGGGATGCAGCCGCGCTGCAGTGCTGGGTGCCGAGCGGGCCGCGGCTGCCGCTCCTCTCCTGTGGGCTCAGCTGCGGGGCACGGCAGGGCACCCCATGGCCACCATCCCGCCACCTCAGGCGCTGCTGCGGCCGCTGGCCGTGCCGCAGAGGCTGCTGCTGGGGCCGGGCCCCAGCAACGTGCCCCCCCGCATCCTGGCGGCCGGCAGCCAGCAGCTCCTGGGCCACATGCACCCCGAGATGCTGCAGGTGAGGAGCCCCCTGTCCCCGCCTCCCGCACCCTGCCAGGACGAGGAGGTGACAGTGGCGCTGGTCCCCACGGCAGGTCATGGATGAGATCAAGGCAGGCATCCAGTACGCCTTCCAGACCCGCAACCGCCTGACGCTGGCCGTCAGCGGCACCGGCCACTGCGCCATGGAGGCTGCCCTCCTCAACCTGCTGGAGCGCGGCGACACCGTGCTGGTGGCCATCAATGGCATCTGGGGACAGCGTGCCGCCGACATCGCCGGGAGGCTGGGTACGCTGCGGGCACCCGGCTGCAGGGGGGCTGCCGGGACGTGGCCTGCTCCCGAGGTCCTGTTGTCCCCACCCCGGTGGCCTCATGCGGCAGCAGAGGGTTCTGGGCTTTGGTGGGGTGACAGTGACATTCCCCCTGCATACGGCGACTTCTAGTGGGCCCCTGGTTAACGCCTGAGCCATGCCCTGCGGCTGGAGGTGAGCCCAACCCTCCCTGTCCCTCTGCTCAAATCCCTCCCAGGTGCTGAGGTCCGCGAGCTGCTGAAGCCTCCAGGCGAGTACTTCACCCTGCGGGACATCCAGGAGGTGCGGGGCAGCTGTGGGGCAGCGGGCATGGGGCCAGCCCCTTGGCAGCATTCACCCCCCTGCTTTTTTCCCCCAGGGCCTGGCACGGCACAAGCCCTCGGTGCTCTTCATCACCCACGGCGAGTCCTCCACGGGGGTGCTGCAGCCGCTGGAGGGGCTGGGCGAGCTGTGCCACCGGTCCGTGAGCCCCAGTGTCCCCCACTGGGGCTGGGACGTGGGAATTTATGTGCTGGGGACACGGGGGGGTAGTGGCAGCAGGGGGTGGCAGGGTGTGGGGCTGAGCCCTGTCCTCCCCCAGGCACGGCTGCCTGCTGCTCGTGGACGCGGTGGCAGTCGCTCGGGGGAGCGCCCATCCTGATGGACCAGCAGGGTGAGAGCCACGGTGCCACCATGGGCGCACAGGGGACCAGAGGGGTCCCACATGTCAGGGCTCACCCCCCCCCCACCTGCTGCTTCGTGCTGGTGCCGTCAGTGCCCCGTCCCTCTTGGGGGACCATTGGGATGTCAATGTGTCCCCCAGAGCAGGGCAAACACAACCGGGACCCGCAGTGCACATCCCCTGTGCTCTCTGCTGGTGGCAGAGAGTGGAGCCAGTGGGCTGGGGGCTCAGTGCGGTCCCTCTCATGCAGAGATCGATGTCCTGTACTCGGGATCCCAGAAAGTCCTCAGTGCCCCCCCCGGCAGTGCCCCCATCTCATTCAGTGAGCGAGCAAGGTAAGGGCAGCCCTGAGAGGCGATGGGCTGGAGGCACGGGGGGTCGCTGTCCCCCCTGCTCTGCCAGCTCTCTGCCAGAGCCATCCCCACGCAGCGGTGCCAACCCAATGCTCGCTCTGGGGCTGGTATTGGGTAAGGGGGAGCTCTGCCCTCCCCTCTGCTCTGGCTGCAGCTCTGCACTCCGCTTTGCCAGGGAGAAGATGCTGAGGAGGAAGACAAAGCCCCCGTCCTTCTACCTGGACATGGGCTGCCTGGCGAACTACTGGGGCTGCGATGACAAGCCACGCATGTGAGGGCAGGCTGTCCCACCACGTGTCGCTTCCCTTCCTCCCCAAAGCCCCCTAAATGCTCTGCTCCCCTGTGTGGGTCCCCTCGGCGGGGGCAGCAGAGCCCTGCCACCCCTCCCCATCGCCCACCCTCCTCGCAGAGTCAGGCGCCAGCCCCGGGGGGCTTGCACAAGCCGCCCTGCGGGGGCTGAGCCCACCCGGGTGCTGTTGGGTTTTGCAGGTACCACCACACAGCACCCATCAACAGCTTCTTCAGCCTGCGGGAGGGCTTGGCCATGCTGGCGGAGATGGTGAGCAGCGTGGCACGGGGCACCGGGTGATACCTGCCCCGTGGCAGGGTCTGGGGGGAGCCACAGGTACCTGCAGCGGGGCCCTACCGACTCCTCTGTGCCACCAGGGCCTGGAGAGCTCGTGGGAGAGGCACCGGGCCAACTGCACCCTCCTGTGCCAGGGGCTGCGGGAGCTGGGGCTTGAGCTCTTCGTGAAGGAGGAGGTGGGTGCGGGGAGCCCATCTCGCCGGGCTGCGCGGCGCTGGGCAGCTGGGAGCATCCCTGGGGGGGCTGGATGCTGGAGAGGAGCCCCCGGTCCTCCCTGCTGGGCTCTCCCCTCACAGGGCTCACCAGGGTTGAGCCCCGTTGCTCTCTCCACCAGGCAGCGAGGCTGCCCACCATCACCACCGTCAGGGTGCCCGAGGGCTACGCCTGGCAGGAGATCACGGCCTTTCTGATGAAGGAGCACGGCCTCGAGATCGCCGGGGGCCTGGGGCCCTCCGTGGGCAAGGTGGGCAGCGCGCTCCCCTCCCACCTCCCCCTGGTCCCCCAGCCCGCATCCATCCAAAGGGGAATTGCTGCGTGTCATCGAGCGGCTACGCACACAGTTAGTGGGGTCACACGTCTTTACCGTGACTGAGGGTGATAAATAGGAAGAAACGGGGAGCTCCTCGCACGCCCCATGCTCTGTGGGAGCCGGTGCTCGCTGGGCACAGCCCCAGGTGGATTCTGCAGGGAGAAACTCGTCCTTCTCCTCCCAGGTCTTGCGAATCGGCCTCATGGGCTACAACTCGACCAAAGACAATGTGGACCGTGTGCTCGGGGCCCTGCGCGATGCCCTGCAGCGCTGCCGCCGGAGCAGGCTGTGAACTCCATGAGCAGTGGGGGTTCCTCTGCCCACCGGGGGACCTGGCAGGAGGCGCTGCGGGACCCCAAATGGGGCCACACGGGGTGCGCGGGAGTGGGGCACGTGCTGGTGGCGGTGGGTGGCACCGGGCGTTGGATCCTCGTGTGCCAGGTGGGAGCGCAGCGTGTTGGCAGGACACGGCACAGGGGTGGCACTCCTTGCCCTGGTGCCCTGGCCCCACATCCCCACCTCTCCTCCTCCCCCAGCCACGACACTCAGCAGCCCCGTGGGGTGGAGGCAGGACCCGAGTGCAGGGCCCTTCCCTTCCTGGCCCTTCCATCACCACCCCCCAGCTGCTGCAGCCGCCCTGCTCCTTCCCTGGCACCGCCTTTCCTGAATAAAGCACCACGGCGCCACGCTGCTCCCCTCCCTCCTGCCTGGTCTCGACGAGTTTCAGCGCCCACGTCCCCATTTCCCCAGGCGACAAGGCCCAGAGCCCCCCGCAGCCCCCTTTCCCCTCTCCCTGCAGACAGTGGGGGTGAGCAGGGGGCGCCTGGACGGGGCGGCAGCGGGTCCCGCTCAGCTCCTCATGGGGATTTCTCTCTGCACCTTGGCGAGGAGCTGGGACATAGCCGAGCGGCGCGCGTCGTCCTGGATCCCGTAGACCTGCAGCTGAGCAGACCCGTGGGTGGTGAGGGAGGGGAAGGGGCTCCCTGTTTGGCTGAAGCCCCACGGGCACCCTAAATGGAGGGGCAGGGATGCCCATCGCGCCCCCCCGCTTACCTGGCTGAGCAGGATGTCAAAATAGGCTGTGTCCCAGTACGCCCTGTCCCCGTCAGGGAGCCGCAGGAGGGCTCTGAGCTCAGGGTCTGCCTGCAAGCCCTTGGTGCTCGCGGGGTGCCCAAAGTGGAAGCGAAGGAAGCGCGGGGGGTCCTGGGCGAAGGCCTCCACCTTCTGTTGGAGCGAGGCGAGGTCCAGGGGCTCCCCGTGGAAGAGGTTCTCCCCCGGGCGTAGGAAGTGGGGTAGGCGCCGGGTGGCCAGGCAGCGCAGGAGGACCACCAGCAGCCTGTAGACGGAGCCCTCCAGGTCCTGCCAGTCCTCCGGCGAGGGAAACAGCTCCGTGCTCCACAGCAGCACCATCTGTGGGGTGGCGAGAGGGGGTGCCTGGGGGAGCACGGCCTCCTCACCAAGGCTGTGCCTTCAGATCCCCAGCAGGAGGTGCTTTGTGCGGGAGAAACACAGACCGTGCTGCTTTTTCTTTTTCGTTTGTTGGTTTGGTTTTTTAAAATGTCAAAGAGCACGGTATGAACTAAAGCCCACTGGATTTGCTTTCAGCTGGGGCCGTTCCCTCGTCAGCGATGACTTTGCTGCCTTCGCCACCTCCTCCCCGGCGAGCCAGCACAGGGCAGAGCGCACCGAGATTGTGACACCGGGTGCCCGGAGTGCCACAAACAGGTTCGGTGGGGAGAGAGGCTTTGTCAGAGCAAACACCAGCCCCAGCCCTCCACCTCCCGGCACAGCGATGCCATCCCCAGCATCCCGGGGCACGCGGCACCGCACGGCCTGCGCCAGGACCTGCCCTACCTTCAGGTGGTCGAAGGAGAGGCCGGTGCTGCCGTCCTCCTCCCTCCAGTCCTGGCTGCTGAGCTGCTCCAGCAGGCGCAGGCTGTCCAGCCGGGGCCCCTGCAGGGTGTCCACTGCCCAGAGCAGCTTCAGGACGGGGAGGTGAGCCGAGGATCTGGAGAGAAAGTGGCTCTGCTGAGGGAGGCTGGAGACCCCGCGGGGCCCAGCCGGGGAGCTGGGGAAGGATATCTGCAGTGCCCACGGCTCTGCTCGCAGGCACTGCCACATGCTGGCACCCTGGAGCCGAGGTTCCCCAGAGCAGAGGCCACATTTAGAGCCACAAGCCTGGCTGCACCCTCACAGCCGGGATGGCCAGGGTCCCTGCGGCACACAGAGGTTTGCACAGGTCCCTCCCAGGGGGCAGCTTCCCCACACCAGAGCTGGGAGCAGCTTCCTGCAGCCCCGCCAGAAGCCTGGGGTTTGGCCACAGCCCCAAACCCGCCCCGCTCACGGAGCAAGCCACCTGCTCGGCCCCTCCTTGGGGCTGGGTGGCTGTGCGGGCAGGAATGCAGGTGTCACCCCAGCCCCTCGCAGCTTCACCCCGCTGCTCTCAAGAGCCCAACGTGCACGCAAACCCTGAGCAGGAAGCTGAGAGCCACCACCCCGTGAGCTGGTTTAGCTCCTGCCAGCAGCTCGGGGCCTCCTTTGGCACCTGAACACCCTGCTGGCACTGCACGGCATGGGCAGGTGAGCTGCAGCAGCGGGATGCATGGCACACCCCGTGCACCAAGGGCACTGGGGCTGCTTTCCCGTGCCCCCCAGGCAGGAAAATCATCCCGCGCTTGGCTGGCAGCGCTGAGCCTCTGCTCTCCCACCCTTTTGGTGCTGCCAGCCAGGGATGGATGGGCACAGGTAGGGCTGCTGCTGTGGTGCACACTGTGCTGGAGCCACTCACCTCCAGCAGCGGGGAGAGGCGGGGATGAAGTGAGCCTCCGCCGTGGCCTTCTGGAGGCTGCCCTCGGGGAAGCCCCTGTCGCGCTGCCGCCCCTGCAGCCTGAGCGGCTTCTGCTGCCTCCTCACCACGGGGACGATGTCGAAGCGGACGGTCTTCCAGCCACCGCGGATCAGCAGGGACAGCTCTATGGCATCTTCCTTCAGGTTTTCGGCGCTGAGGTCACCTGGATGTGGAGGGTTTGGCCACATCGCGGGAGGAGAGAGGTGAGGAGGTTACCGCAGCCGGTCCCGCAGGCTGAACTGGGTGTGCACCTCAATACCTGCGGGCTCGTCCCACCCCACTCGAGTCATCCCTCTCCAATGCTGCGGTTTGGCTGTGGTTCCCCGGCGAATGCCATCTCCAAACCCCGCTGGGGTCGTTTTCGGGAAGGAGATGCATCGCTGCCGGGGGAATCGGGGCTGGGCCAGCGGAGCGGGCACAGCAGGCACCCACGCAAGCCCCGAGCGGCAGAACAGGGCTGCACGGTTTGGCAGCAGAGCTGTGCCAGGAAAGAGAACGTGACCTATGAAATATTGATCAGGAAAGGTCTCGGGCTGCAGGGGCAGAGGAAGAGGAAGCGTGGACTTGGCTGAGGAGGAAGGAGGGAATGGTGGGCACGCTGGGGCCGGGGTAGGACACTTTCAGACCCTCTCTGCCCTTTTTACAGCCTCCTCCAGGGGCTGCCTGCACTGGGCGCTGTCAGAAGCCAGCAGAGCGAGGAGTAAAGCAGCTGGGGCAAGCCAAGCACGCTGATTCCCCGTGGAAATTGCAGGGACCAACAGCAGAAGCATGCCCATGCCAGCACCCAGCGAAGGGTGGGCATGGCAGGCAGTGGTCAGCGTCCCCTTCCTCAGCGGGGAGCCAGCTCCCAGCCGGGGCCGTGCCCCGGTGCCATACACACCTGGCTGGAGAAGGAAGCGGCGCTGACAGTGCACGATGGCCGAAACAAGGAGCTCTTTCAGGTGCTGGAGGACTTTGCCCGGCGCCAGGTGCCGCGCGGTGCCACTTCCCCGCTCCATATCACCCGCGCTGGTCCAGTCCTCCACGCCGGTCACCGCAGAGGGCACTTCGAGGTGACAAGTGCCCAGTTTCCCGGGCTGGCACGGAGATACCCGCAGCGCATCACCATCGAGGCGCAGGGGCACCTCCACCCTGACGGCATCCTCGGAGGTGCGGAGCGTGAACTCGAAGGCTTCCAGGTTCCTGCAGTAGTCCACGAGGAAGCGAGGCTCCGCGCCATGGACGTGCTCCAGGAGGGTCAGCAGGATGTCCTCCGCCTGCTGGAACTGCTGCACCCGCTGCCCCTGGCGGGACACGATCACCCCCAGGCAGCTGTGCCAGCGGGACCCGCCGGCTGCCATGGCTGGGGCCGCGCAGCTCCACCGGCTGCGAGTGGGAGCGCGGCGCCGTGGGATGGAGGGCGGGGAGGCAGCGGGTGCTGGGCGGAGGGAAACCCCGGCTGCTGACAGCTGGGGCGGGAGAGACCGAGCCACGGCATCGCCCCACGGCATCGCCCCACGGCATCGCCCCACGCAGCCAGCAGCCCTGGCAGAGGGGTGAAGGGGAGATGGGGCTGGGATGGGGCGAGGTGTGGGGCCCCTCTGTCCCCAGGGCGCCTGTCTGTGCGCACCCACGTGGCCCTAAAACCACACAACCCCTGCCTGCCCTTCCCCAGTGCTTTGCCCTGCTGTCGTGCACCCTGTGGAGGGTGTGGGAGGCGGATTCCCTGCATGCCCCTGCCTGCCTTCACACCGGGGTCCTTCCCCTTGTCCTTCCTCCGGGAGAGGCTGGAGGAAACAGAGGTTCAGTGGTGCCACCCGATGCGTGGGCATCCCCGCTGCTCCACGAGAGCCTGAGCCCTGCTGGAGGCTCGCAAGCAGCCGATGGGTACGGATGGGGTGAAGCTCTGAGCCAGCAGGAGCAGGACAAGGTGAGCCCAAATCCTTCTCCGCCTTCGCAAAGCGGCTCAGGAGCCTCTGGGAGAGGCTTTTTGGGCAGGAATTTGCAGTGGAAGGGACTGGCAGGGTGAAGGCTAGTAGCCCTCGGTGAATCCAGCCCGTGCTGTGCCCCCAGGAGGATGGCTGGGGCTGGGGCTGCCAGCAGGGGCCACGATGGAGACGCAGAGGAGGAGCGGGCGTGCTCGAGCTGCAGCATCTGCTCAATCCGCCTGGAAACCCCTCGGGAGCTCTCGCAAACGCGGGGTGGTTTGGCTCATTTTCCAATCTGCACTGCATGCCTGGGAGCAGCAGGGAATCAAGGGGGTATGGGGGGGGTCAGGGCTCGTAAGAGCGGTTCAAAGGGGTACACACACAGGAAGAAAATACACACACCCCCTGACGCAAAGCGAGCAGGCCCTGGAGAGTGAGGAACTGCAGCCAGAACAAGTCTGCAAATCATCGACATCAAAGCTTGTTCAGGGAACCAAACACAACTGCATGAAAAAACCTCCTCCCCCAAATTCCTGCGGCGACCCTCCCCACCTCTGGCAAGCAGGGAGCTCTCGGACCCTGGCTGGGAGCATCGTGGCTTTTCTCTTTGCTTTGGGCAGGAGCAAGGGCAGGGCAGCCAGAGGCTGGGTGCGCCAGCATCACCCCAAGGTCTCCAGTCGCATCCCTGCTCGCGGCTCCAAACCAGCCTCGGGTCACCCACCAGCTCGTCCCGTCCCCTCACATGGGTCGTGGCTGTGGGACTGTGCCTCAGAAAGGCCACGGATGCTTGATGCAGTGCAGAGGAAACAACAAAATGCTTCAGGAATGAGCCTGGCCCTGCAGCAGGCTCGCAGGACGCAAATCCTGCCTGCAGGTGAGAAGTGAGGGGTGTTCAGGGCACAGCGAGGACGGGTGAGCGAGCAATAGGCTCAGACTCGGCACAGAAACACTCGAGGTGAGGCGTCAGGAAAAATTTCCTAACAGCACTGTCAGTTAGGCCATGGAACAATCTTCCCGAGGAGGTGCTGGAATCGCCACCGCTGGAGTGGTTCGTGCCTGGTCTAGACAAGTCACCCGGGACGCTCGCGGGGAACGGCCCGGCGCTGGCAGAGGGGCTGGGCTGGATGAGGTAATAGGTCGTTTTCCATCCCTGCGTTTTATGGTTCTGCGAATTTTCACTCTGTTAGAAACGAGGGAGAGAGAAAACAACCAAAAAGGAAAAAAAAAAAAAAAAAAAAGAAGAAAAAAAAAAGAGCGAGGGCGAGCAAGAGAGAGGAAAAAATAATAATAAAAAAAAAAACGCTGGTGGCACGGGGGTGGCTCGGATGGCACCCATCACAGCAGAGGCACCGCAGCAGGATGGGACCCTCAAGTCCAGCCACTGCTCCTCCGGGCTTCCTGGGGGAGCCCCCCAGCCGTCGCCACCCCCCAAAAAGACAGCGGGGCCTGACGGAGAGGCAGAGGTGCTGCTGGAGGCCAGGACGTGGGAGGCAGATCTGCCTCCAGCAGACCGAACCCGGCTGCTCTGCCTCGCTCCCTGCTCCAGCGTGGGCTGGGGGGCTTGGGGGGGCCACGCATCCGCCACACGCACCCCCGAACGCAGGGATGGGGCCGAGCGGAGGCGATGAGGACTGCCCCTTCCCAGCAGCCTCCCGCACGCCCCAGGGAGCCAGGAGTCAGCCTCGGAGCAGAGCAGCCTCGAGCAGAAAGGACAGGATGGGGTGGGGGGGAGAGGGAGGCAGGGGACTGCGAGAGGAAGAGAGAGTAATTTAACATGACAGGCTGTTTATTTTGGCAAAAACGGCCTCCTTTCAACAGATTTCAAAGCCCAGCCCCGGGGCTGGGGGGGGACCACACAGACAAGTGGGAGAGCAGGGGCTGGGGGCGGCCGATGGGGCTCCCGGACCCTGCAGCTGGGCTGGGGTCCCGCGGGCACCGGGGCTGGATGGGGACGGAGAGGGGACCAGCGGGGATGGAACGGGGACCAGTGGGGATGGAGAGGGGACCAGTGGGGTTGGAGTGGGGACCGGTTCTCGCTGGTGCCCTGGGACTGGGGGCGCACACAGCGGGCGGTGGGGGCACGAACCCAGGCGCTGCTCCCTCCCGCACGTGCTCGCCCGCACGCACACAGTTCACACGCTCCCCCCGGCCCCGGCTCCTTCCTCCAGGCCAGGGCTCAGCTGGAGCCTTGGCTCCCCCAGCGAAATTTCAAAAGAGGCTTTTTTTTTTTTAATAAATAAATAAATAATAATAAAATAAATAAAAAAGCTGCTAGTAGAGAAATAATTATTATAATCACATTAAGAGATTGGCCGTAAAAAGCCCTGCGAGAGCTGCCTTAGCGGGAAAGGCTGCTAGCGGCAAGGGGGGGGGGGCGGTTTTCCTACGCTTTGCTCTTTTTTATTCAGTCCCAGTCCACACATCCCCCCCCCCCCTCCTTCCTCCCCTTTATCCTGGGAAATGAAAACAATTTATTTAATGATGGATCGTCCCTTTCTCTGGTCACTGACCTTCTGGGGGAATTTCTGCTGAGCTCGGCGGAAAACGCGAGGCTCGCTCAGCAGATCCCATCTGGGGGAGGGGGAGGGGAGGGGAGGGGGGCGCTCACCCTCGTCCTTCCCAAAAACACAGCAGCAGTCCCGGGGAGCAGGCCGGGGAGGCTTTGGGCAGCGTCAGGGTTTTTCTGCACCCCCCCTGGACATCCCTGTGGCCACGCTCTGGCCCTGCTGCTCTGTGGGGGCTGCGGAGCCTCCTAGAGCCCCCTCACCCCGTCCTCAGCTCCCCTCTCCTATTCCCTCGGTGCTTTTGGGGGCTCGGGGGGGTTCCCAGCACCCCATCAGAGGCGGTGCTGGTGGGACACACGGTGCGGCCACAGGAGTGCACGGCTCCATCCCCGATGGGCTCCTTGGCCCCTGAGCTCCCTCGACTGGGTCCGAGGGGCAGGGGCAGGGTCTTGCCCTGAGCCCCCCGTTTCATTTTTGGCTGCTCCCTCCCTCCTCTGCCCCCCCGGCAGCACAGGGCTGTGGTTTGGTGCTGTCAGCACCCAGCCCGCACCACGTCCCCCCCCCGTGCTGCCCCCCGGGGCAGGGATGGAGCAATCCCTCGTCCTGCCCACTCCCCTTTGGCCCTTCCTCTGTCGTGTCCCTGTTGCTCCAAACGTGGTTCTTGTAAAAACGCATAAATATTTATACAAGAATAATTCAAAAAACATGGCCTGTCAAATAATCAAAGCACCAGCACATCCGAGGAGCTTTCGGCCAGATTGGGAAATCCGGTGCTGCTTCCCGACGCCACGCTGCGATGCTGGAGGTGCTCGCGGCCGCTGCTGGCCCTTGGGGCCGCAGGATTCACCGGTGCTGGGCAAGTGGCCAGGGTCGGTCGCGTCTCTTACCGCACGGAAAAGCAGCGCCGTGTGGGTTTGCAGGGGGGTTGATGTCCTAATTAGCACACCGGTTGCTGGTTTGGGGGCCGCAGCAGAGAGAGGCTTTCACTTGAGCCACCTGAAGCCTCTCGCTGCCTTGCCTCCTGCCCGGAGAGGTTGACCTGTCCTCGGGGCTGCCCCTGGCACCAGTTTGGGTCTCAGCCCAGTTTCGGCCCCATGTCCCGCACCAGGAGGCATCAGGAGCCCAAGGATGTGCGAGGTCTGTGAGCTGAGGCTGTGCTGAGCCGTGCCGGCAGCCCCTGCCCTCCGTTTGGTTTGGAGATGCCCCCTTCTTACCCAGAGCCAGCAGGTGAGCCACTGGAGCAGAGCTCGCAGCCCCCAGCAGAGCAACGAAAGGCGGCCCTACAAAACCACCAGGAGAGGAAACAAAGCCCTCCCCACACCCCCAGCCGGGCTCCGTGCGCTTGGGGTTGTGCAGAAGGACCCGGGGAGCCGTTCAACACCCAGAGGCCGCTGAGCACCGGTGCGCTGGGGCGGAAGGGCCGGCGGGTCAGCACGAAACGCCTCGTGTTCGGTTCAGCACATGGTTCGGATTTTGCTCTCCCCCTGCGTTACAGCCAGAGAGGCCAAGTCCAGAGGGTGTCCCCGCTGGTCCCGCACGCACGTGACGCCAGCGGGTCCCTGCGAGGGGAGCTGGCTCCGGGGGCGCGATGCTGTCTCCGGGCAGGAAAGGCGAGCAAGTAGCCGGGGAGGTGTGCGCGTGTGCGCGCGGCCGGGGGGGAGCCGAGGAGCGGATTAGGTTTTAATGAAGTTTTGAACTCATTGCCTGGCCCGCATTCAAAGAATGCAAGAACGCTAATCATGCACACATAAATGCGTGTGGTGGGAAGCGCCTGGAGGCTGGCCAGGAATACAGAGGTTACTGCAACACACATCTCGTGCTCCTGCTCCCCAGGCGCCTGCTCCCGCCCCTCGCCTCCCTGCCGGGCCCCGGCTCCAGTTTGCCAGGGGACACGGCCCATGGGGACGAGGGCATGGGGTGGCAGCGGGGCCCCCGAGCTGCCCGGCTGAGGCACCCGGGGCTGGGTTTTGGCTGAGCTATGCAGGCAGGTTCATCAGCTGCCTGCCGTGGGCCGTGTCCAAGCCCGAAGGGTGGCAGTGAGCAGAAAGAAAACGGGGCTGGGGCGGTGTTCGGGTGGCCCCACTCTGCTCTGCTCACGGGAACGCGGCTCTGCTCAATGCCAGGTGGAGGGGACGTCCCGGGCTGCCCCACCGTGTGCGGGATGCGTTCCCATCCCCACCCCAAAAAACCCCGGCACCTCTCTGCTGCCCACCAGACCTGGCCCTGGGCTGTGCTCCGAGGGTCCCGGCCTCATTTTGGGGGCTGGTGAGCAGAAGGGGGTCCTGAACGCAGCTCCACGGCCGCTGTGGACAGAGGAAAGGGGCATTTGCTCACGGAAAGGGAGCAGGAGGCGGTGCCGAGAGTACATCCAGATGGTGCGGGACACGGCTCCTTTCCCCCGCGCTCCTCCCCAGTGCTGAGCCCGGCTTCACACCGGGTCCAGCTTCTGACCCAGAGGAAATCGCTCCGGGCCGTGGCCAACAGCTGTTTTCCTGACTTGGTTACTGCTTTCAATTTACTGTCCCGAGGAGGCTGAATTCAGATAGCACATTGCCGTGTCCCAAAACCCCCCCGCATGCCGGTGGGGAGCTCCGTGCTGCCCGGCCCTGTGGGGAAAACGTGGTCCCCACTGGGACAGCTGCTGCAGGGGCGCTCTGGTGGGCAGCTGGGGGTGGATGCATGGCCTGGGCGAAGGGGACAACGTGGCCACCACACCACCTTGGCACGGGATGCTTGGGGACACAGCCCTGTCCCCGATGTGGGACCCAGCACAGCTATGGGGGTTTGGCACAGCCCCGGAGGAGGGACACGGGCCAGGTCCAGGTGGGAGCAGGGCCAGCAGATGGGGGCTTTTTGGGGGTGGGGGTGACTTCCAGTGGGGAGGGAGGGGGCCCGGGGGTCTCCCTGCAGCGGGGCCAGCACCGGGGGGCTGCGTGCGCGGCGCCCCCAGCCTCGCCTCCCGCACAGCGTCCCCCGGGCCGGGGAAGGGGAGAGCAGCCTAATGCCTTCCAGAAGATCAGCTGTAAATGGCCAGGGAGGGTAATTCATATCAAACTCATAAACCCTTTATTAGTGTCTCAGGGGGGAAATCCGGATGTGGCCGTTTATTTATTTTGGATTTCGCTTTTTTTTTTTTTTTTCTTCTCTCTCTTTTCCTTTTAACATTTTCTTCCAGGAGATTTTTAAAGGGACAGGGCTGCCTTGCCTTTCTCCGAGGTTCATCTCGCTGCGACTTGGGGCAAAGTGGCCGGGGCCTGGCTGAGCACCACAGGGCCCAGCGCCTGCCTGCAGCTGGGCTCCATGGGGCTGGCTGGGTGTTTGCTCTCGGGGTGTTGTGAGGGCCAAGGAGCCATGGGGTCTCCACGGCTCGCACAGTGGGACTCAGAGCCAGGGGCCCCTCCTGGTCTCCTGCTGGAGCCGGGGGGTTGCCCCCTGTGGCTGATCGGACCCCCACCAGCGTGTGTGGTGTGGTGCATGTGCAGACACAGGGCAGGAGGGGCCCTAAAAATACTTCCCAAAGGGCCTCCAGGGCCCAATCCCTCATGAGGGCCACAGGGCCACCTCCCCAGCCCCTCCGTAGCGCTCCAGCTAAGGCAGTGTCCAGTGTGGGCGACCATTTTGGGGACCCTCCCCCAAGCACTAGCACCCAGCCGGGTCCCCGTGAGGCAAACTTTCCGCGGGCGGCACCCACGTAAAGGCCCCCGGCGGCGGCGGAGCCCTGCTGCTGCTCGCCGCTCGCTTCAGCCCTTCCATAATTTGTTCCATTTGTTCCATAATTTGTGCCTCGTGGGGGATTGATATCGCGGGGCTGGGCAGGAACGTGCGGGCCCCCCCGGCACCCCCTCACCCCCGGGGACGCTGCCCCTCCTGTCCGCGGGGGACACCTCGGGGTGGGACAGGGGACACGGGGGTGTCATGGGCTTGCTCCCTTTGCCAGGACAAGTGTTTTTTTTTGTTTTTTTGGGGATAAAATGGGTGATGCCGGTGATGAATGCGTGGGGTTTATCGTTACGGTGTTATTGTTGTTAGCATTTCTTTTATTTTTATTTTATTTTATTTATTTTTATTTTTATTATTTTTATTTTTATTTTTTATTTTTATTTTTACTTTTTTATTTTTATTTTTATTTTTTATTTTTATTTTTATTTTTTTCTCCCGGCGGAGACAAAGAGGCCCTTGAGCCGAAAAGGGTCACTTCAACCATCGCATTCCGGAGAAGAATTTCCTGATAATATTTTTAGCACCTGAAAAAAAAAAATAAAAAAAAAATTAAAAAAGGGGAAAAAAAAAAGCAAATAACAGCATTTCTCCCTCCTCCCCCCACCCCCCCCACCGGGCCCCGCACCCAGCGCCCCCCCCTCCGCGCGTCCCCACAAAGCCACGCCCCTTCTCATTTACATAACCCCGCCCCCTTCTATCACCGCGAGCTCCCATTGGCGGGGACTCCCTGGGCTATGCAAATCCCCCCGCTGGGGGCGTGGCCTCTGTGCGGGCAGCGCGGGGAAGCCGCGGGCAGCGCCGCTCCGAGCCCCCCCCCCCCCGCACCCCCCCCACCCGCCGCCATGTCGCGGCTCCCGGTGCCGGCGTGAGCGCTGCGGGGACGGCCCCCGGGGGGCGAGGGTCCGCGGCCATGCGGGGCTGCTGCGTGGGGCTGGGCTGCTGCTGCTGCTGCTGGGCGAGTGGCTGGTGCCGCGGGTGGGCGGCGTGGTGCCGCTGGCTGATTTCTACCCCTTCGGGCCGGCGCAGGGCGACGCCGCCACGCTCAAGCAGGACGACGGCGGCTCCGAGCTGCGGCCCCTCGCCGTGCGCTTCCCCTTCTTCGGAGCGGGGCACACCGGGCTCTACGTGAGTGCCGGGCCGAGGGCAGCGGGCAGGCGGGGGCTGCTGGCCTCCCCCTTCTTCCCCTCCGAGCCTCTTCCCTTTCCTCCTTCTCCCCCCCCCCTTTTTTTCCCTTTTTTTTTCCCTTTTTTTCCTCCTTTTCCCCCCCTTTTCTTCCTTTTTTCCCGTTTTCCCCCTTTTTTCCTCCTTTTTTTCTTTATTAACTCTCAACTCAGCTCGCTCCCGGCATGTCTTGGAGGGTTGTAGGGTTTTGGGGTCAGACGGGATGGCCCCGCTTCCATCCGGAGCAGTGGAGCGGTGCCGGGGTGCTGGGAGCGAGCCCCAGGGCGTGCAGGGGGATCCTGGCCTCTCGGGGCTCCCACCGGCCTCCTGGGAATCGCCACGACTCTTGCTGGGGCACAGGACACAGGGCAGCCTCAGGGTGGGACTGGGAATAGCCAGAGCCATCCTCTGGGTTCTGCTGAAAGGCAAGGACCAGGAGCTCATCTTGCACCGGAGCCATTGGCTTTGGACCCGCAGCTCTGTGCCACGGGGCAGAACCCTTGGGGTGCTGTCACGACCCCCTTGGTGATGCTCACAACACCCCTGAGATGCTCTCGATCCTCTGTGGGCAACCCCAGGGTGTCCTGTGGCCACCGAGAGCCCCAGCCTTGCTCGAACGCCCGGGCACTGCGCACCCGGAGCAGATGTTGCGAGGCTCCTGTGCTGCGAGCTGAGGCACAGCTGCGGGACGTGCCTCCGATCTCCATGTGAGAGTCATTAATCGAGCTGGGAGGACGCACTGGCATCTCCCGAGTTTGCTAAAAATTGCATTTCCTCCCAGGATTTTAAAAGGCAGCCTTCTGCTTTCCATGCTCTTCCCACCCGGGGATGCTGACGTGCCGGTGTCCCCGCAGCCGGGCACAAGGCAGCAGCTCCCCGTGCACCGGGGGGGCTGACCGGGGCCGTTGGCTGCCCCGTGGGGACACACGTACGTGCCCAGGTGCTACCAGGACAGGGACACGCTGTCCCGTGCCCCAGCCAGCGCTGGGGAGGCGGAGGAGGAAGGGTGGGACTCGGTGTTGAAGGATGAAGCTCTGATGGCCTGGTGGTCTCCAGGGGAGCCAGAATTTGGGAACTCCTTGCCCTGAGAGCAAGGGACCAGGCGCACCGTCAGAGGTGCGGCAGCGAGAGGGAGGTTCCTGCATGGTGCTGGGCTTGGGCGGGTGTTGCCCGACATGCCAGGCTCATGGGGCTTGCTGTGACCTGTTCCCTCTTCCTCCTGGGGTGCCCAGCCTTGGGGCAGGTCCCTGTCTGCCTGCAGGTGTGGCTGGGCCTTCGTCATCCTGAGGGGATCCCTGCCTGGGCCCCCTGTGGGGACGGGAGGACAAAGTTTGGGGCAGTTTGGGGCAGCTGGCTTGCAAGTTGTTGTGTGGGCAGCTGGTGAGACCCAGCTTTCTTAGGGAAGGGAAGCGAGGAGAAGGGGCAGGCGTGGGTTTTTTGCTGTCTAGAAAGCGTTGCGGTCACTGTTGGCCCGCCTCTTGTGTGTGTCCCTGCCGTGAGGGCCCGGATGGCCCAGCCCTGGGGGGTCCCTCCGAGCCCGCCCCCTCCTCCTCCATAAAACAAACAAAACAAAAAAAAAACACACGCACACACACACACACGGCCCTTCTTGGCACCGGCTCTCTCCCATCTTGCTTTAATAACAGGAAGAATGTTCCTCCGCGGACACCGCGAGGTTACGCGGGGTTTGTCAACGGGGAATCGCCTTCCCCTTAGTCACGGTGGCAGCTGCCCAGGGCCGTGTGGGCTGTCCCCAGCGCTTGTTTTGTGGGCTGCTGCGTCTCCTGGGACCCTCATAAACGGCCCCCAGCACCAGGGGCCCCTGCCCAGGCTCCCCAGGGCTGGAAGCACCCAAAAGGCGAGCGGCCCTCCCCCCCCGAAGTGTCACACCTGCATCCCCTGCTGCATGGGGACGGGGGGCTCGGTGGGGTGGTGGCACTCGGTCCCGTGATGTTCGCCAGCCCTGCCGCTCATTTTCCAGCCCACACTGAGGGTTGGGGTGCCCCCAGCCCCGGCGGGCGCTCTCCCAGCTGCTCCTGGCCGGAGAACAGGGCTGGGTTTGTTCGGGCTCCTGGCCCTCCGCAGCGGGGGCCGGGGGGTGAGGCTGCTTTCCCCGGGCCTCTGGGCCCGGCCGGGGGCACGTCCGTGCTTCAAAGGGCAGGAAGGGGAAGCGCTCAAATATTTGTGGAAGGAGGTTGAGGGGGGGAACAGGTGAAGGAAAAAGCGCCTCTAAAGTAAGGCTTCGGGACGGCCAGGGCTGCGGAGGGCACCGGGGGAAGTGCCCGTGGAGGCTTCGGTGCTCCCCGGGGCCGTCCTTGCCCATTTTCCTGCATCTCCGCAGGTGAACAACAACGGGATCATCTCCTTCCTGAAGGAGGTCTCCCAGTTCACGCCGGTGGCCTTCCCGATCTCCAAGGACCGGCGCGTGGTGGCAGCTTTTTGGGCAGACGTGGACAACCGGCGTGCGGGCGATGTGTATTACCGGGAGAGCCGAGACCAGGCCATCCTGGAGCGGGCCACCAGGGACATCGCGCAGTATTTCCCCGAGTTCCCCGACTTCTCCGCGCAGTGGGTGTTCATCGCCACCTGGTACCGGGTCACCTTCTTCGGGGGAAGCTCGTTTTCACCGGTGAGCGCTGGGGGCCCCGGCGGGTGGTGGGCAGCCGCGGTGCTGGGGTGGGCCTTTGCCAGCACCCCTGAGGCAGACAGCCCTGAGGAATGAGGGAGCAATTAGCTTAGGGGTGGGTTTTTTAAGACGGGTTCCTGAAGGAACTGGAGCTTTGTCATCTTCCACAGCCTTGCTGAGGAGCCCGGGTTTGTGCCCAGAGCCCCGAGCTTACAAAAGCTGGTTGGAAACTTGGCTCTGGAGTCTTGTTCCTCTTCACCGTCGGGTATCTCTCTGGGATGCAGCTGCAATCCTGCCCTGCTGTCAGCTCTTGTGGCCCAGCTGCCATCCCGGGGCTTTCTTCTAAGCTCCAGGGATCTGAAGGCAAATTTATGTACTTTATTAAGTTTGATTTCCCATTTGAGGGTAATTGCTGCCTTTCGATGTAGTGCCACTGGGAATGGGAGCTCTTTTCGGAAAGGGTTTTCTTAGCGGTGTTTCTTAGTCCTGGCTCGACACAGGGAGCCCTGCTGGGGGCTCACCGCTGCCCTTCCCAGGAGAGGAGGGCTGGTGCTGAAGGAAGCACCCCTCTGCTGCGTGCTGCCGCAGCCTTCCTGCCTGACAGCTTCATCTCTTGTCCTTTTTCTGGCCCGCTTGCTCCTTGACCATGCTCCCTGCCTGCCCTCCGCCCTCTCACAGCCTTCTCCCCTCCCTCCCGCAGGTAAACACTTTCCAGATCGTCCTCATCACGGACGGCAAGCTGTCCTTCACCATCTTCAACTATGAGTCCATCACCTGGACCACGGGTATGCACGCCAGCAGTGGGGGGGACTTTGCTGGGCTTGGCGGCATCGCAGCGCAGGTAAGCAGCGGACGCGGCCGTCGCCCCCAGGTAGCGCCCGAGCCCGCCGTGCTCACGGCTGCCCTTTGCTTTCCCTCGAGCTGTTCCTGGCAGCACACAGCAGGCCAGGGATTTTTGGTGGTGGCTCCCTCCTTCCTTCCCTCCCCCTGCTTTTCTGAAGTTCTTAAATATCCGTGTGTGCTCTCCTTCTCGGAGCTGAGACCATATAGGGGACTTTGTTACAGCGAAACCACGGTTCTTTACCTTGGCTGCTGCCTCTTAGTTCCTTTTCCTTCCTAACCTCAGACTTTAAGAGCGGCTCGGCAGCTGCCGCGGCCAGCACAGCTTTCGCTTGTATTTTTATTTCATCCTTGTGTGCGTTGTTGTGTTTAAGAGGGGGGGAAAAAAAAACGCAACCCGGTCCCCATTCGGATGTGTGAATTTACCACCAGTTGATCTGTCCTTGGCTCCCTGCCTGCCTGCCTGCAGGAAATCGCAGGTGTAGAGGAAGGGGACGCGTTTTGAATCCCCGAATTCAGGAGCGCGGGTTTTATGGACGTAAACAGGGCAGCGACTGCACACCTTGGCCAGTGGGCAGCCCTCCAGCGGCTCCCGCTGAGGAGAAGCAGAGTTTCAAGGGAAGAAACGTCCCTCTCACCCCACACCTCCGGGCTGGGCTTGCCAGAGGGTGCTGTGAGCACCCCCCTTGAGCTCCCGAGGGCGAGGAAGGGCTGCGGTTGTCCTGGGGAATAACACCTGAGGGAGGGGATGCAGGAGGAACCCAGGGAACCTGGGTGGTGGCGGTGACGTGCGGTCCTGCGGAGCCTCCCCTCGTGCTGCCGTGCCCCTTGCCTCTGCCCCCGCCGCTCCCCTCGCCGTGCTGATGTCTCTCTGCTCTCTGCCCTTGTCCTCCCAGGCAGGTTTTAACGCCGGTGATGGAAAGCGCTACTTCAACATCCCTGGATCCCGCACCGATGACATCGCTGACGTGGAGATGACGACAAATGTGGGTATCCCCGGGCGCTGGGTGTTCAGAATCGATGATGCCCAGGTGCAAGTGGGGGGCTGCAGCAATACAAGTAAGAGGACAGCAGTTAGGTTTATTTAACTCCCAACCCGACCCCAAACTGTTCTCCAGCCCTGTCTTTCCCTGCCTCGACCCCCCACCCTCACCTCCCTCCCCGAGGGGAGAGAGCAGCAACCCGTGGGTGGATCAGACAGCTCGAAGGGCTCGGGGAGGGCTCAGGGTGGGGGCAGCGATGGGGATGCTTTGGGGCATCCTTTGGAGCCGCCGGCACCGTTTTGGGAAGCCTGGCTCCTGAGGATCTGTGCCCGGGGATCGCCGGGCTGGTTCAGGGCCCAGCCACTCGTGCTGGGGCTGCCTGCCACGGGCTGCAAAAGCTGCTGGGGAGGAAAGCTCTTGAGGCAGGCTGCGAGGCGCGGGGAGCCGGGCAGGGTGCCGGGGAGGAGGTGAGGGCACGCACGAGGGGCTCTATGGCTCCCGTACCCGCCACGGGGCTGGGGAGGCTCGTCCGTCCCGTGGGGCAGCCAGCAGAGAGCAGGGGCTGTGCCTGGCCACCCCGGCTGGCCCTCCGTGGAGCCACCGACCTCCTGTTCCTTGTCCCCGCCCCACCCTGGCCGTGCTTTCTTACCCGCTAATCCACGCGTGTTGTCTATCGCCTGTGGCTTTGCTTTACACAGGTCCTCCTGCCCCTCTGCCCCAGGCCATAGGCGAGGGCTGGCTGGGTGATGCCTGGCTTTTGTCCCCTGCCTGGCTCCTGCAGCAGGAATAAAATTGTCACCCTACCCGGTGGGGAGCCCGAGAGGAGCGAGCCCTGCCCGGCCGCGGGCACGCAGCCCCCAAAACGGGCTCCCCGAGCGCCCCAGAGAGCCGGGTGACCGTCCCCAGCCTCGGGGCGCGCACGGATGGCGGGGCTGGATGGACGCCAGGACAGACCCCGGCGGTCGCGGCGCCGGACGGCAGCGTGTGAGCCCTGCCGGGGCGGGCTGTGAGCGGAGGGCGCGCTTGTCTCCGCAGCCTCCGTGTGCCTGACGCTGCGGCCCTGCCTCAACGGGGGGAAGTGCATTGAGGACTGCATCACCGGGAACCCCTCCTACACCTGCTCCTGCCTCGCGGGCTTCACGGGGAAGAGGTGCCACGTCGGTGAGCGGCCTCCCTGTACCAACCGCGGGCTCCAGCCCTGCCTGCCCCGCTCCTGGCTGAGCCCCTGCCTTCCCCTCGCTCTTTCAGACGTGGACGAGTGTCTCTCCCACCCGTGCCAGAACGGAGCCACCTGCATCAATGGTGTCAACAGCTTCAGCTGCCAGTGCCTGCCAGGCTTCAGAGGAGCCAGCTGTGAGACGGGTGAGTGTTGCGCCTCCTCCAGAAGGCACCGTGGAGCCGTCAGCACTTGTGGTTTCCGCTGGGCATCCTGCTTCTGCTCCTGGGTGCTGCGTTGGCTCCGCAGGCTGCCCTGTTTAGCTGCCCTGCGTGAGGATGGGACACGTGAGCCTGGAGGCATCCCCCTTGTAAGCAGGGACTGGGAAGCCTCGGAGGCTGCGCTGCCAGGCTCGGCAGAGCCAGCAGAGAGGCGATGAAATGGCTGTGCCACATCCTCTACCCTGTTTTGGGGCAGAGCTCCTGGGCCTGAGCCATGCACCAGGTCTCAGAGAGCCGCTCGTGTCCCCAGGAAGGGACTGAGACAGCGGGGATGGGAGAGGAGATGGGGCAGTCAGAGAGGGGTGGGGGGCTCTTGGGCACCCTATGTCCGTCCCGCCATGCCCGTGGGTTTATCTGGGCAGGCTGGGGAAGATCTGCCAGCGTTTTCCTGAAAGCATAGAGGAGCTGATGACAGCCAGTTCTTCTCCTGCCACCTTCAGTGGCAAGCAGCTGTTAGACCTCAGCGGTGCTGGGGAAGGGTCCGCTCGCGTTGCAGACCCCCACGGGGGGCACAGCGGCTCCGAGGTGCCGGGGTTTGTAGGGAGGCTCACGGGGTGCCCCGGGGACAGGAGGTTTCCAGCAGGAGCTGTGCTGGGCGCCGAGCGCTGCAGTCTTGGATCACGACTTGCTGAAAGCAAAGGAAACTTTGCTCTGGCGGCGAGCGCTTCCTCCGCTGGCAGCCCGCTCCCAGGAGCGCCTGTCCCGGCACGGCTGTGGAGAACGCGCCCGCCGCCTCGCCCTTGCTGGAAAACGCTGGCATTTAGTGCCTGGGCAGGAGTCTCGGAGGGTGGGGGGGGGACCCTGCTCCATGCGGGGCTTTTGCAGGTGGTGGCCAGGTCCTGAGCCGCTGGAAGCCACTGGGAGCGTTCCCAGCCTCGCGGCCCAGCTCGCCTCCGGATGAGTCACTGCTAATGCAGGCAGCAACATCCGCTGGGGGGGGAGGCATCTGCTCACAACACCTCTCCTCTGGGCGTGGGGACGGCAGCGAGGGCTGATGTCCAAGGGGCTCGGCGCTGCTGCCAGGTTTCCACGCGAGCAGAGGGAGCGGAGCAGCGGGACAGCCTCTGCCGGCCGGGCTGGCTCGCCCCGCGCTGGGGACGCTGCCAGTGTCAGGCTCCCCGTGAGTCCCTGTGCTGCTGGGGAAGGAGAGCGGGGAGTTTTCCTTTCGGGGGAGGGATCCTGCACCCAGAAGGCAAAGCTGGAGGGACGGGCCGGGCTGTCCGAGCTGTCCTTGCCCAGTTTGTGGTGCTGGCTCTGCGCTCTGCCTGGCCCTGCCTGCCGGCAGTAGCAGAGAACACGGTGTGCTGGTCCTGCGCGTGGCTTCACCCCCCCTCTTCCCTTTGCTTTTCCCACCACAGAGGAGTTGCCGTGCGAGACCAAGGTGTGCCAGAACGGCGGGACGTGCCAAGAGGCAAACGGGACGGCGGCATGCGTGTGCCAGCCGGGGTACGCGGGAGGAGACTGCGAGACAGGTGGGCACTGGTGGCAGGACAGGTGGCCACGTGGTGGGGACGGGGACGTCTCCAAACCAACCCCCCTCCTTGTCCTGCCCTGCAGAGGTGAACGAATGCGAGTCCAGCCCTTGCCTGAACGGAGGGCACTGCGTCGACCTGGTTGATAACTACACCTGCGTGTGCCTGGAGCCCTTCGTGGGACAGCGCTGCGAGACAGGTGCTTGGTGCCCCCACACCCGGGGCAGCCCACGGCAGGGTTTTGTCCCTGCTGCCCCTCTCTGGAGGCCCGGCTCACCGCATCCTCCTCCTCCTCCTCCTCCAGACCCCTCTTCCTGCGAGGACCGGAGCTGCAGGAACCGTCAGACGTGCAACTACATCCGCCCGGGACGCTACATCTGCACGTGCTCCCCGGGCTATTACGGCAACAACTGCCAGTACGGTGAGCGGCAGCGCGTGGCGGTGACACCGGGCTGTGCGGGAAGGCCACCGGCCGTGTCCCCCCCCCGGGGAGGTCTCCGGTCAGCGTCCTTCTCCCTGCAGGTGGCCCCCGGGTACCCGGCGCCTGCCTCTCCAGCCCCTGCCAGAACGGGGGCAGCTGCCTGGAGCTGGAGCAGGGCTATGCCTGCGACTGCCAGGAGGGCTACGGCGGGCAGGACTGCCGCGACAGTGAGTACCTGGGGTCTCTCCGGCAGCGTGCTGACCCTTTGGGGAGGCCCTACAGGAGCAATTGCCCATTCCAAGGGGGGAGCAGCCCTGGCAGAGCCTGTTCAGGGCTCTTGGATGGAGCTGTGGTCCCTATCTCTGAGGGGGGGCCATGCCTGGGGGCTTGCAGCTGTGGGTCCCGAGCTCCCCCAGCTGGCTCCAGCAGGGCCACTTGGCTGCCCTGGCCCCGCAATACAAGGGAAGCTCCCTCTCCATCTCTTGCAGAGCTCTCTGAGGGCTGCGAGTGTCGGAACGGAGGCAGCTGCCTGGAGGGGAACGTCACCATCTGCCAGTGCCTGCCGGGGTATTTCGGTCTCCTCTGTGAATTCGGTAGGTGAAGGCTTCACGCGTGGTGTTACAGCTCGCTGTGGTTGCTCCCTCTCCTGGACACTTAACGCCAGTTAAATGCCGATGAAGGGCCTCGGCTGTGCAAATTCCTTGTACCACGGGGACACTTAATCCGAGCCACCTACACAAGCCAGGCCCTGGGGATGTGCTCCTCGTGGGGAGGAGATGCTCTCTCCATCTCTTGCTCTGCCTTGAGCCGTGCCTTTCCCGAGCCCTGGCCTGTAGAAGGAAGCCCTGGCTCTGCACGCTGGAGCTCCAAAGCTCGCTCTGCAGGCAGAAAGACCCTTGCCATGGGGCACGGGTGGCCGCAGTCCCTCCCTTCTCACCGTGCTCCATAAAGCCATGGGACCTGTTCTTGGCTGGGGGGCTGGCCATCCTGCTGCGGCACACCTGATGGAGGCTGTCCCTCTGTGTGTTGGCAGAGGTGACCGCCACGCCGTGCAACGTCAACACGCAGTGCCCAGACGGCGGCTACTGCATGGAGTACGGCGGGAGCTACCTGTGCGTGTGCCACACCGACTACGGCACCAACCACAGTGAGTGTCTGCAGCCGGGGCACGGGCTTGGTGCTGGGAGGGAGGCGAGGTGGTGAGCACAGGGCCTGCCCCAAAGGCGAGGCAGGTGGGGAGGAGGGCAGAGCTGAGGTCTTTGTTCGGCTTTGCAGCGGTACCTTCCCCCTGCGACTCCGAGCCCTGCCTGAACGGGGGGTCCTGCGAGGCTCAGGACGACTCCTACACCTGCGAGTGTCCCCCGGGCTTCCTGGGGAAGCACTGCGAGAGAGGTACGTGCCGTGAGGGGAGGACAGCGCGGCCTCCGGGGCGTGGGACTGGCTCGAGAGCCGCTCGGCATCTCCTGCTCCTCTCCCGCAGCCCGGCCACGGCTCTGCAGCACGGCGCCGTGCCGCAACGGGGGCACCTGCAAGGAGTCGGATGGCGAGTACCACTGCTCCTGCCCCTACCGCTTCACCGGGCGGCACTGTGAGATAGGTACGGCTCCGACACCGGGGAGGGAGGCAGGTGGTGCGTGTCCCGCTCCCCGCTCAGCTCCTGCTCGCCCCCAGGTAAGCCGGACCCCTGCGCCTCGGGGCCGTGCCAGAACGGGGGCACCTGCTTCCACTACATCGGCAAGTACAAGTGCGACTGCGCCCCGGGCTACGCCGGACGGCACTGCGAGATCGGTACGTGTGGGTGCTGCAGGGTCAGGGGGGACAGAGTTGCAGCTTTGGTAGCAAGTGTGCTGCACTGTGCTGCTGGATGTCACCCCCAAACCACTTCGGGGACACACTGAGGGGAAGAGGCAGCGGCTTTGGGCCCTGCCAGCTCCATGCCGGTGCCCTCTGCTCTTTGCAGTGCCGTCTCCCTGCTTTCTGAGCCCGTGTGAGAACGGTGCCACCTGCGAGGACCTCGGCGGGGACTTTGTGTGCACGTGCCCCGTGGGCTACACCGGGAAGCACTGCCAGACGGGTGAGGGCCCCGTGCCGCCGCCACCGAGCCCCAGGCACCGCGCTGCCCTTGCTCATGCCCCATCTCTCCGCAGAGATCGACTGCGGCGTGCCCAGCGCGGTGAAGCACGCCCAGGCCTCCTTCAACTCCACCACGGTGGGCTCGCTGGCTGAATACCGCTGCGAGCTGGGCTATGCCCTCAGCCAGCACAACAGCCCCCGTGTCTGCCGCTCGCAGGGCGTCTGGAGCGACCCCCCCGAATGCGATGGTAGGCAACGGGAAGAAGCTTGAGCCGTGGTTATGGCTGTGGGACCCCAGCAACCTCTTATTCCCCCGAGCACGCTGCTGTGGGACCCCAGTGCTCATCGCCCTCTCCCTATCTCCCCCCTGCCCAAACGCTTGCAGAGATCGACGAGTGCCGCTCCCAGCCTTGCCTGAACGGCGGTCAGTGCAAGGACCGCATCGCTGAGTTCCTGTGCGTGTGTGAGCCAGGATACGTGGGCCACCACTGTGAGTTGGGTAAGAAAACACGTAGAGCTCGTGCAGGGAGGAGGGGAGAGAGTCTGTGGCCCACCAGCCAGAGCAGGGTGTGAATGGTGTGGTTGGGAGCGGGGCTGCCTGCATTTATGCACACCAGCTTCCATCTCCTGCCTGCGTGTGGCTCAGGGGAGCCCCCAGCTCACCAGGGAAGGGCGCGTGTGCTGCTTGCCCACCCGTGCAGACAGGTGCTGCGTGGGTGTCTCTGTCACCGGTGGGGCTGTGATTCCCAGGAGGCTGGGTCTGGATCCCCTAACAGCTATCATGTGCCTCCGTGTCCCCCTGCTCATCACAGCAGTTTGCTGGAGAACGTTCCTAATGCGATGCTCTTCTTCACTCAGTCTCAGCGTGTGTAATCAAGCCCCGGATCTCCAGATCTGGGTGAGACGTGTCCCACGCAGCTCCAAAGTTACTGGCCAGGAGGGAATATGGCATAAAAGCAGCTTGAGATTTCACACTTGTGCAGGGCTGTACCCCGCAGCAGCTCCTTGTGCTCGCTCTCCCGTGCGCACACCTTCGTGGTGCCGTGCGGGCTCAGCGTGGTGGAGGAACGGGGTGCAGGGATGGTGGGGTGGCTGGGTCAGCTGCTGTGGCTGCAGGGGGGATTAAAGGAGGGGACACACCACGGACACCCTACGGGACATCTCAGCACAGCCCCACGCCGCCAGCCATCTGCACTCCCCCTTCTGCCCTGCTCTCTTTCTGGCTGGGGGGCTGAGGGCAGCGAGTGACGTGGGGACGAGTAGCGCTGTCTTTCCAAACTTCCTCTCCTGCCTCCAGCCCCGGCTCTGCTCTGAGCCGGTCTCTCCTCTCTGCAGAAGTTGATGAATGCCAGTCAGAGCCCTGCAAGAACGGCGGGACCTGCCGGGACCTCCCAGGCTCTTTTGTTTGCTTCTGTCCCGAGGGCTTCGTGGGGATCCAGTGTGAGGAAGGTAGGGAGTGTGCCGAGCAGGGCCCTGCTGGCACCGCTGTCCCTTGGGCTTGGGAATGTGTCCAGGACCTGCACCAAAGCAAATGGCTGGGAGCTGTCACGGAGCTGGCACTTGGTCTCCGCCACCACTGAGGGTGCACGCTCGGGCTCCTTGCCCTGCAGAGGACGCTGCCAGCCCTGGTGCTTGCTGTGGTTTGTGTCCCCTAGCAGCAGAGCCAAAACTGTATCCTTCAGCTATGGGTCTGCTCTGCAAGGTGCCTGGGCTGCCGTGGCGTTCAACAGGCAGTCCTGGCTTCTGTGGCTGTTCACGTGGGGCTTTTCCTGGGGCCGTGGGTGTCTCTGCTGGCCCTGGGCTCGTTGGGGTCCTGGTGTGCTGTCCCCACGGCATGTGTTTCACTGCTTGCGTGCTCTCACCTCCAGAAGTGGATGCCTGCGAGTCTGGCCCGTGCCAAAACGGAGGGGAGTGCGAAGGCTACCGAGGCTCCTACCTGTGTGTGTGCCCGGAGGGTTTCTTCGGCTACCATTGCGAGACAGGTGAGGGGGGCAGGAGGACAGGTGAGGGGGGCAGGAGGACGCAGCTGCAGCCCTGTGCGGCCGCTGACGCTGGGGTGTCTGACGCCGTTAACGCCTCCGTCTTGCTCCCACCCTGCAGCCAGCGACCCGTGCTTCTCCAGCCCGTGTGGGAGCCGAGGCTACTGCCTGCCCAGCAATGGCACCCACAGCTGCACCTGCAAAGTGAGCTACACAGGCAAGAGCTGCGAAAAAGGTAAAGGCCCTGAGCAGCGGCACCAGGATGTGGCGAGGGGCTCGACGGCAGCGTGCCCGCCCTGCCCGGTGGTGGCCGTGTCACCCGCCACCAGGGACCGGCAGCTCTCCTCGCCCTGGCGGGGCTCGGATCTCGCCTCTGCTGGGGGAGCCCCGGCCCCGCGGATGCTGGGGGCAGATGCCAGCAGGGCTCAATCGTGCCAGGTGCCGGGTGGCTGCTGGAGGTGACGGCGTTGGCACACGGGCGAGGCACGCGGGGACGCTGGGGGCAAATTTCTCTGGGCTCCAGTGGTGCAAGTGCAGCAGGGGTTGAATCCTCCTTGGATGCCCTTGGGAGGGGAGGCAAAGAAATCTGATTCAAGCCTCCGGCCCTGAATAAAAGCATCCCCGAGGCCCCTAATCTGGCCTAAGCGATCTCTGCGGGGCTTTAAGCTGGAGGAAGGTTGTTCACTGCGTCCCCGCGTGGTCCAGGATATGGCAGCAAATGCTCTGCCCCCAGCTCTGCCGCACCAACTGCCTGCTTGCCCTGGCTCTGCCTGAGCCCATCGGGGTGGCTGAGCAGCCCCGGCACGTGCACAGTGCCTAGCACGACCGGCCAGCAGCAGCTGTAGGGTTTCTGTGAGCTGCAACGAGAGAGAAAGAGAGAGAGGGGACCCTGTCCTCCATCAGTGCCGCTCTGCATTTCGTTGCTGGGGTCTGTTCTCTAAAGATTCATGGCATTACCTCTCCCCTTTGCTTTTGCCCACACCCTGAAGAATTGCTGCCACCAACCTCATTAAAGGTGGAAAGGGTGGAGGACACTGGTGTGTTGATTTCTTGGCACCCGCCTGAGGACGCAGCCGCCAGGCAACTCATTGACGGCTACGCCGTGACGTACGTATCCTTCGACGGCTCTTACCGCAGGACAGATTTTGTGGACCGAAGTCGTTCTGCCCACCAATTGCGGGCACTAGCCTCCGGCAGAGCCTACAATATTTCTGTCTTTTCAGTCAAACGCAACGTGAACAACAAGAATGATATCAGCAGGCCTGTCATGCTCACCACGCGCACTAGTGAGTAGTGTCCTCAGGGGAATTCGGTTGTGAGTATGGGCCCCCCTGATGCCCAGGGCAGCGTTTCCAGCCTGTGGGGCCTCTCCTCGCCAGCGCTCTGCCCACAGCCACGGAGCTGGTGGAGCACCTGGAGGTTTCCTGCCACCTCCAGCTTCCCGTGCCCCGGAGGTCTGCTCCGGTCTGATCCCAGCCTCCACCACCCGTGGTGTGGCTGAAAAAGGCAGTGCGGACCCTGAAGTCTGGGTTCAGAGGCACTCAGTACAGAGAATGACTGTTCTTTGTGCAGTGGCCACTGAGAGCAGGGTGTGAAGGAGCAATCAAATGCCATGGGGCTGGTAGGGAAGCAGCCAGCGACAGTGGGGATGGCCCCTGGGTCCTGCTCAGCGGGCTGCTCCACGGGCACAGTGTTGGGGTCAGGGTTTGGCTGCTCTGCAGGTGGGCAGATGGCCACCTGGTTGTCCCCCGGGGCTCAGCCTGCCCCCAGGGGCACAGGGCAGCGTGCCGGGCATGGTGACAGCTCCATGGGGCATGGACAGCGTTTGTGCTGTGTCTTGTCCAGCCTATTTTCGGGAACGGGCAGGTAATGCCGTGTCCTCTGACATGCGTAATCCCTGGCCTGCGGATGGTTGGAGCAGGAATCGGGGGGAAACCAAGGGTGGAAGAGATCGGACTTGGAAAAGCTGCTCTCTAGTGAGAAGGGACACCGGGGGGCTGAGGTCCTCCCGTGCCAGCTCGGCTGAGCCATGGGAGCAGGCACCGAGGGCAGTCGGGCAGCTCCGGCAGCTTCCATGAGAGTTTGGGGTGTGCCGGGGTATGCAGCCCTGTCCTGGGGGCTTGTCTGCACCGATGTGTGCGTGGCTGGGGCAGCAGCTGGGCAGGCGGTGCCAGGCTCAGGGGGCTCTGTGCTTGCCGGGGATCTGGGCTCAGGGAGGAGCGACTGATGCAAGGTTGAGGCCGGGGTGCTCCTGGCTGCAGGGTGCTGAGACAAGGAGCGTGGCAGGGGAAGAGGTGCCAAGCTGCTTGGGCTGTCACGGTGCTGGCGCCAAGCCCGTGGTGGTGCCAGGAAGGCTGACATGGATGGGCAGCGTGGGGCACAGCAGTCAGGGGGTGCAGGAAGGGACGGAGCCGCTGCCACGGCCGGCTGCTGACCGTGGCCCTCCCCGCTTCTCTGCTCGCTCCGGCCAGGACCGCGTCCGGTGGAAGGCTTTGAGATCACGAACGTGACGGCCAGCACCATCACGGTGCAATGGGCTCTCCACCGGCTCAAGCACTCCACTGTCAGTAGGGTGCGTGTCTCCATCCGCCAGCCTGGGGACCTGGAAGACCGCACGGTGGAGCTGAACAGCAGCGTGGCCAAGTACACCTTCCTGTGAGCCTGGCGGGTGGGCGGCGGGGACAGATGGCCACCCCGAGCCCCCGCGCTCACCTCCTCCTGCCCGCCTTCCTCCTCTGCAGGGACCTGCAGCCAGGAGAGCGCTACATCGTCCACGTCACCACGCTGAGCGGCCTGGGGACAGAAGATCACCCCTCGGAGAGCCTGGCCACGGCTCCCTTCCACGTCTGGACGAGTGAGTGGGACCGCACGGTGCGGGACGAGGGCTGGCGGGGGCTTTGCTGGGATGGGGGCGAGCTCCCAAGGGGTCAAGGTGACAGCAAGCTGCTGCCATTCAGAGGCTCAGCGCTTATTTCCTCCTGCTCCAGGGCCTCTCCCCCCTCGCAACCTCACCGCCTCGCGCGTCACCCCCACCTCCGTGTCCGTGACGTGGGAGCAGCCGCCCGCTGGCGCCGTGGAGGGGTACATCATCAACGTCACCACCCTGCAGAGCGTCAAGAGCCGCTACGTGCCCAACGGCAAGCTCGCCTCCTACACCGTGCGGGACCTGCTGCCCGCGCAGCGCTACCGCCTCTCCGTGACGGCCGTGCAGAACACGGAGCAGGGGCAGGTGCACAGCGAGCCCATCCACCTCTACGTCACCACCCGTGAGTGTCTGCTGGGCAGGGGGGGGACACCGAGCTGCAGTGGTCCGTGGGGGCTCCTGCTACCTGTACCAACCCTCTCTGTAAAAGGGAGGCAGCGGTGGCTCTGCAGCCCTTTGGATGGGGAGTTACAGCTCAGCAATGCTTTGTCAGGGAGGGGAGCAGCATTTGCTGCCTGGGTGGCGTCACCTGTCCCCAAACAGCCCCAGTGGCCCCCAGCCTGACGCTCCGGTCACTGCCTCCCTCTAAGCCTAACCCTTTGTGGCCTGCAGTGCAGAGGGATGGGGCTCCGGAGAGGCGCTGGAGCCAGGCTGGACACCCCCGGGTGCTGCGCAACAGGCTGCCCCCAGCCTTCCTGCCTGAACTCCGCTTGCTCGCAGACCACGACACGGCTGAGGAGCCCTCCCCAGCCCCCAGGTAGGCAGCAGCAGGGCTGAGCACAGCCCCTCGCCCGCCCCAGCCAGGTGACCCCTCGCTCCAGCAGCTGGTGCAGTGTTTGTGCCGTGCCCAGCGCCACCTGCGAGTGCTTCACCCACGCTGCCTCCAACCCTTGGGGACCCCAGTGTGCCCCCCACCCTCATGGCTGTCCTTCCCCAGGTTCACCGAGCTGGTGGATGGCAGAGGGAGGATCAGCGCCAGGTTCGGCACTGCGCTGAGCAGATCCATCACCGTGAAGACACGTAAGTGCCCTGCTGCCTTTTTGGCCTCTTCCTGTCACCCAGTGCTATCTCCTGTGCCTCCCCCACTCCCCCTGGACAGGGCGACAACGGGGCAGGCTGCTGCGGGGCTGAAGGAGCCAGAGGGGAGGGCAGGAGCCCGTTGCCTCTCCCTGGACCAACATCTCCCCAGCCCATGGAGAGGGGTGGCCCACAGTGGGTTGGGGAACCCGGGGCTGGGCTGTTGGCAGTGGGAGGAGATGCGCGATGCAGCGTGGGCTGGGCCCAGGGTGCCACCAGGGGAGGGCTAAACTGCTGCTGCAAACCCAGGCTGGGTCCCCTCTGCCTGCTGCTGCAGAGGGGCTGCCTTGGGGTCTGGCCCCGGCTGGAAGTCACGTTGACCCTCTCGTTGCCCAGAGCCAGAGGCTCCTGTGAAGCTGGAGAACATCGAGGAGCCCGGCCGGGGCAGTCTGGCGCTGCAGCTGCACGAGGCATGGAGCAAAAGTGAGTCTGGGGCGGGCATGGCCAGGGGGAATCTATCCCTACGGGCGTGAGAGCGGGACTGATGGCAGCGCTTGTATTGCAGGAACGGGGCAGAACTGCTCTGCAAACCCCTGCAAGAACGGAGGCACCTGTGTGAGCGAGAGCGAGTCCTACCACTGCGACTGCAGCCCGGGCTTCAAGGGCAGGCACTGCGAGCTGGGTGAGTGCCGTGCTGCTGCCGCACACGCTGAGGCTGGCGGCTGTCCCAGCAGCAGGGTCCCACAGGGCACAGGTCACCGAGCACCCCCGGTCTGTATCCAGCTCCCCGGTTCTGGCTGAGCCTCCACCAGCCGGGATTGTGCTGTGCTGTGGGGCCAGAGCTCTGCGGCTCCTGGCGGGTTGGTTCCAAGCCATGCTGAGCCTGGTCCTCTAGGGCCACAGCAGGGAAACCGGGGGGGCCTCGGCCCCCAGGGCGCAGGCAGGCAGGGCTGGAGATGGGCTCGCTGGTAGCTCCCCTCTCCTGTTCCCCAAGCAGCCTGCAAGAAGGTGCCACACTCGTGCACGCGGCTGTACTCGGAAACCAAGTCATTCCCCGTGTGGGAAGGAGGCACCTGCCACTACCTGTGAGTACTGCCCGCGGGTTGTGCTCCCCCTTCCCCTCGCACCAAGAGCTGGGGCCGGCCCCGCAGTGCGGCTCCGGGGAAGGGAGAGTGAGCAGGAGGCTGCCCCGTGCCCTGGCCAGCTGCTGCCGGGTGCCCAGCGCCAGCGAGGCAACCTCTGGATCAGGGCAGGGCGCGACACGGTGCCAGCCCTGCCTGCCAGCCCAGCTCAGGGCCGCTTCTGTCCCCAGAGGGGTTGAGGGATGAGGGGGCTCTGCTGTGCCCCCCCAGCCTGCCTGCAGCATGGGCACAGCAGCCCAGCTGCGTGTCCAGGCAGGGCAGGCTCAGCCATGCTTGTATCTAGAACACGGGGGAGCACCCCCCCAGCACTTACAGACACGGCTCTGTCCCTGTGAATCCCTACAACCCTCCTCTCCGCTGTGTGTGCAGGTACAAGAGAGTCTACAAGGTACACCAGGATGTCTGCTACAAGGAGAGCTGCGAGAGCACCGGTTCCAAGAAGCCAAGCAGCAGGTAGAGCCAGCAGAAGCGTGCTTCTTTCCCTTTGCCTGGGGGGCAGAAACCTGGGACCTCTGGCTTACCCCAGGCTGGGCAGGGAGGGGGTGTGGAACAGCACACGAAGCCCAGGCTCGCTTCCCGGGGCTGCTCCCGAGGCTGCGGGGTTCGGGCGAGTGGGAGCAAGGGCCAAGGTGCTGCAGGACTGATGGTGCTTTCGCTCCTTCTCTTTCAGAAAACAAAGCGACAGTCACACACTGAAGAAGCCATAGAGTAAGTGTCTGCTCCAGGCACAGGCTGAAGCCCCCCAGGGGGCAGGTCCCCTTCTCCCAGCCCAAGACAGGCATCCGGGACGGGAAGAGGCAGCCGCTGGGCATTTGGGGGGGGGCTCCACACCCCAGCTCATTCTCCTCCTGCTCCTCCGCAGGGTTCAAAGCAGTAGGAGCTTCGTCTTTCCACACCTAAGGGCTTTTGAAACACCAGGAAGATCAGATCCGCTCACTGGGTTGAACGCAGCAGGGGGGGGACCCTTCCTGCCTGGCGTCAGCCCCTCCCTCTCCTCCAGCCCGTTAGGGACACGCAGCCAGATCAGCACCCGAGCGAGCGGCGCCCCCTTCTCCCTGCCGGACCAGCAGTGCCTTCGCCCTGCCTTGCCTTGCTGCAGGTGCCCCCCTGCCCCAAGGAGCCGAGCGGGGTGCTGCAGCAGCCAGCTGCCTGCCCCCAGGGGGCCTGGCCCCACTCGGCCCCCCCAGCCCTGAGCTCCCGGCTCTGCGAGCCCAGTTCCCTTCCACCAGCACCCGCACCACCCTGCTTTCGTAACCCAGGGTGCTGCGTTATGTATAACCCCCAAAGAAACCAGTTTACTGCAGACCAGAAGGCCTTAGCTATCACCTGAAACCTGGCCTGCAGCCGGGTGGGGAGGTCTTCCCTACGTGTTCCCTATGAGTTAGAAATTGTGAGCCACTGCCCCGAGCAGCGAGGCAGGAGCAGGCAGTGGAGGCACAGCCCCGTACTGTAGCTGGGGGAGAGGGGAGAGTTAAGGCAGCTTCCCCTGCCTTCATTTTTTTTTTGTTGTTGTTTTGCTTTGTAAACGAGCCACGGTTTTAACCAAATTCCCAGCTCAGAATGTCATAGAGCACCTAGAAGTTACTAAAAAGCAATCTGTAGAGCTAAGATTGTCAGCCAGGGTGTGCCACCACGCTCGTTCTGGTGCTACGCGGCGCAGGGCACAGCAGCAGCCTGGCTGTCCCCGCATCGCCCTGCGGTGCCGCTGCCACCACGGTGCCGTTAGTGGCCCTGCAGCGGCCGCCCTGCTGGCTGCCACAGAGCAGGCAAGGAAAAGTTTAGCTTAGAAACATTCCTAGTTTTTTTTTTGTGTGTGTTTGTATGACAACGCTAGTTAAACATAGATTTGTGTATTAACATACACAGTGTATATTATAAATTAATACATACCAGAGATATATCGTAGCTATGGTATAGAGTGTTATTTCCCGAGCAGCGGAGGGGGTGTCCCAGTGGGGCAGCCCCCCAGGGAGCATCACAGGCACCTCTGCTGTTGGACCACGCGTAGCCTTGAGGGTGTTCCCAGCGCAGAACCAGCTCAGGAGCTTCAGCGCTGCCGGCAGCGTCCTCTTCCCTCCTGCACGCTGCCTCAGTGCAGCAGCCCAGTGCTGGACAATGCCCTGTGAGGCCGTGAGCAGGGGGGCAGGGTGAGGCTTCCACCAGCACTGGGGCTGGCTCTTCTGCCCCCAGAGAATCGGATTCACAGAGAGAGAGAGCACCCTAATTTTTTTTTTGCTGAGGCTGCCTGATGCTGCTCCCTGGATCTGTGCTCCTGGGATGTGGTGGGGTGAGCGCAGGAGTCCCGGACATCCCTGGTGTGGGAGGAAAAGCTGCCCCTTACCTACAAGTGAGAACACCAGAGCAGCCTGTGCCAGCCCCAAGGATGTGGGGCCGGAGCCTTCTCTTCACTCTGGGGCTATGGGCAGAGTGTTTGCTCCCCTGCCACCAGCTGCGAAGGGGGCAGCCCAAGGATCCTCCCTGCAGTGATGCAAAGCGCAGCCTCCCCCCATCCAGCACAGTATGTAACAGCCAAAAGGATTTAACCTTGTCTTTGAAATAAATTAGTTATTTTGGTTTTGTTTTGTTTTTAATAAAAACACTTGATAGAAACTGGATATTTTCTAAAGCACCTGGTCAATGAGGAGGACAAAGGGTCAGCGTTGCGTTGTGATCTATGGGATTCACTGCTGCCTTGCACGCAGAGCCTGGCAGGATCCCACAGCCGCTGTGCCTCACACCTGTGCTGCGGGTGGTGGGGCTGGGAGACCCCAGGGAGCCCCCCATACTCACGGTCACACTCTTCTACCGTCATCCCAGCCCTTATCTCCGTCTATATACTCTGTATCCCTGTCCTCATCCTCTTCTTCTTCCTCCTCTTCCTCTTCCTTCATCTCCTCTTCCTCCTCTCGAGCCAGCAGCTTCTTGAAGACCTCGTACTCCTCCAGGGTGGCGCGGGCCAGGTTGACCACGAAGTCTTTTTCGGGGAGGTGAAGGACCTCCTTCAGTTTGGGGTTGTTGCTTTGGGTCTGGCCCTTGACAGGGGTGTGGTAGAGGCCGCGGCGCTCCAGGAAGATGTGCCGGGTCCTCAGCTCAGCGAAGGGCGTTCGGAAGAGACGCGCCTTGACCATCTCCTTCTGGCGGACGCCCATCCTGAAGTACGCGTACTGCGAGCGGGACGAGGGGCATCAACACACGGCCCCGGTGCCGTGCTGTCCCCACAGCTCCCACCCTGCCCCCCTCACCTGGAAGTGGTACTGGAGGCTGCCGGGCTCCTCCAGCAGCACCCCGGGGCAGCTCTGCAGCACCTCCGTCAGCTGCTCGGCCGTGAAGAGGCATTTCTCCCGCAGCACCCGCACCGCCGCCTCCATCCTCCGCCGGGGCAAGGTGAAGACCTGCGGGCAGCGCCCGGCCGCCCGCTGCAGGTGCCCTGCGGGTACCGGGCTGAAGCGGGCGTCGAGCCGAGCCCCCCTTTTGCCCTTTTTTCCCCCCTTTTGCCCCCGCTACCTCCGCCGAGCCCCAGGCGCCTCAGGTACTCGGCGCGCTCCTTCAGCCGCCCCTCGGCCGCCCGCAGCAGCTCCGGGCTCCGCTCCAGCAGCCCCAGCGCCGCCTCAGCGCCCAGCCCCAGCAGCAGCAGCTGCTCCAGCGCCGCCGCCGCCCTCCGCGGGCCCAAGCGGGGCTGCAGCTCGCGGAGCCGCCGGGCCTGCGCCTGGCTGAAGCCCATGGCCAGCAGCGCCTCCGCCTCCCTCTCCGGCCCCGCCGCCTCCTCCGAGGCGCAGCCGCGGCGCGGGCACGGGCCGGGCACGGAGGTGGAGAGCAGGGCCCGGGCCCCGCCGGCCGCACGCAGCAACCGCCCCGCCATGGCCCGGGAGGAGCCGCGGCCCCGCGCAGCCGCACGGCCGGGAGAGGAGGAGCCGCGGGGCCGGGCCCGGGGGGTTGTGGCGCCTTCGGCTACAAGGAGCAGGGTTGGGAGCCTTCCAGGAGCACCCCACCGCCAATGTCACCACTGAACCCTGTCCCCAAGCACCACGTCCAACCTTTCCTTGAGCACCCCCAGGGACGGTGACTCCACCACCTCCCTGGGCAACCTGTCCCAGTGCCTGGCTGCTCTTTCTGAGCAGAAATGTCTCCTCATTTCAACCTGCTCACTGACAGACGATGGAAAGCAGCCCAGCCATCCACCAACTCCCTCAGCACCCTCAGGTGGATCCCATCTGGCCCCATGGACTTGTGACCGTCCAAGCAGAGCAAACTCCAAACAACACCCAGATGGCAATCAACCAGCAAAACTAGGCTGTTTATTCATTCATTATTCAGAAAGTGAAACTACATATAAAAAGTAAAAATAGCCAATAAAAATATATTCTGAGTTATAAACAAAACAAGCAACATCTTTCTCTTACTGCTTTAAAGCCCAGCCTATGTACAAACATTTATTAACTAGAAGCTTTTCTTGCCTCAGCACTCCCCTCACAGCAGCAGTAACAGCCCCAGGGCAAGCACTTCTGCCTGTTAGCAGCTCTGTACCACTGCAGAAATGCTCCTTTCCAACAGCCTCAGCACTGCCTGGGCTTGACATCAAATTCCCCACTGACTGTGCAAGATCCTTTCAGGATGTCTCTGTTCCAGCAGAGTGCTGACAGCTCCTCAGTGAGGCAAAAAGCAAAACCAAGGCCAGATCTTAGACTGTGGTGTACATCAAAAGTCAGTGTAACAGGTGATCAGAACTCACTGCTGAGTAATTTGCCAATGTAAACGCAAGTATTTGCAGCAAGCGTGCTTTGTGTGCATCTAACCACTTCTGGTGAAGAACAGAAGGGACTGAGGAAAGATCAACAGCTCCTGCCTTCCACAGTCTGCACAAGAAAAATCATCTGGATGTCAAGGACTGCTCCATCAGACTACAGAAGGTGGTTCATGGCACAAGCCTCTCTCATAGCAAATCCCAGCTATTGCTCTCAGGATTTCTCAAGAAGTTCAATTTTTATGTGAGGGATCATCTTTCTCCAAGAAAGAAGTGCTTAAAATTAATTCCCATTGCCTCCTGAGTGACAGCATATGCACTGTAGCAAGGGAGCTACCGTTCCACAGGCAGGGCCTTCTGCAGAGACAGACTGCAGCAATGCCCCAGGCCCAAGCTGTGGCACTCCGCAGCCGCTGCTCCTTCCCAGTGGGGATCTGCATGTACACAGTTGGACGCATTCAAGCACGGCTCACACTCCAAGCAAGGAGCTGGAAGTCTGTCTCCTTGCATGCACTCACCAGAACCATTTCTCAGTCGACTGCTTTCTAGAGAGAAAGATAAACAGCAAAGAACAAACCACAGGTTCCACTGGTCAACAGGCCTAAGTTCAAAGCAAGCTTACTTGGATATAAGACGGTCTTCTAGCAAGAACTATCTGACTAACCACAGCCAAGCCTTTTCCTATAAATCCTCCCTGCCTGCTCAGTAGGCCCCCAGTGGGGGAAAAAGCCTTCAAAACAACATCTTACCTGCCTCAGCAGAGAAGTATACCTCTTCCCAGGTATAATTGCCCAGGTTGACAGGCTGCTTCAGCCAAGGATCCTCTACTAACACAGCTAGAGTCATGCGCTGCTCCGGAACAGGATGCAAAAGCCCAGCGATCAGATTCATGAGATCTGGGGAGAGGCAGCAGCGAGACAAACAGTTCAGTCAATATTTTAGGTATGCTGAGAATGCAATATGATTTGTATTCAAAGAATGCAGATCTCAGTTACAAATCCTCCCTGTTAATCCCTTGTACTATCCTGCTGTCTCAGTTTCATTCACAACTTACATGAGCTCGGCTCTGAGAATGATCTGAGATTTCCGGGTTGTGAAAACAAGAAACCACGAGAGGAGTTAATGGCACTGAGGAGGACAGACGTAGAGACATGCTACAGAGCCAACCCTGTTTCCAAGCCCAGTCTTGTCCTGCAGCCATCCTATGTTTCATCTGTGATTAAAGGTGCACTCAGGGTTCAGCGAAAGCTTCAAGAATTTACCCTTCAATTGCATCACTGCTGAAGCCTTATAACCACAGTGCTCCTAGGACCACAGAGAACTTGAAGAAGACTGACAGACTGACATGCACCTGGTTTTCTACAGCTCCAAATGAAAGCAAAGCCAATGTATTTTTCCTGTAAGGTCAAGCCACACAATTCATTCAGAAATTATAAATTAACAGATTATCAAACATCCCCAAAGCGACATGTGATTGGTTGGTGATTAGTTCAAGTGAGAAAACTTGCATTGGATCTGCACGAGTGCCATTAATGATCTTAAACTTATCTACTAGAGCCAACCCTCCCACTAAGCATTGTTCCAGTTTTCTCAGGTATAAACCTCACTGAAGTTTGACAAGCCAATAGCTTGAATCATCATCTTAAGTGGGAGGACTGGAATTTGAAACTAATAAATCATACGGTAGATAGCTGCAACGTAGGCATAAAGAACTGCAGAACTGATCTGAAAAGGATACCTCTGCTTCAGTGAACAGCTTCTTAAATCATTATAGAGAACATTTGGCACTATTTTTCCAGTTTTTCCCTTCTTCCTGGGGAATAAGTACTGCTCATACTTTCCTGAGAGATCTGCTCATTCAGAAAAGTAAATTGGAAAAAATTACCTTTTGACACAAGCCGAGGAGGATTCAGGACAGCTGCCATGGCCTCCTCCAGTTCACAGAAGGGATTCTCTCCAAATATTAGGGTATAAAGGGTGACACCAAGTGACCACATCTCCAACTCAGGGCCATGATACCTGTGCAGAGATACGCAAGCTTGCATAAACTCAGACTGCAAATACATAATTGTATGCTAAGGAAGGTAAGGGAAAAAATTAAAAAAAGCTGGTTGATAGCCCTCATTTCCAATTTTTGTCTTAACAGAGGAAGTTTGTGAGAATTCTCATTTTCTGAGAAAAAAAATCTTCTTCTCCGTGAAAGAAAAATAACTAAAGAACTGCCAACCAATTTCTGTTGATGAATATGTATAATAGGCACTGAGACTTCTTACACAAGTAAGCTGGTGACAACGGAACTTAAGTCTCCTCCTTCTTTATCATAAGCCCAAACCATCAATTAAATCTTTAAACAGAAAATCAGACACTTAATTGGAATCCCCTTTGCCCCCTCCAATCCATTTCCAAGCCAAAAGTTATTCTGAAATAAATGTTATCTAGATTCCAACTGAGAAGAAGGGACAGTTTCTCCTCAAAGCAACAGGCTGAATTCCCAGGGCAATGTGGCTCCATCTCCCGCCTAGTTCCCAGTAGGAATTTCCTTCCCTCCTTGCATGGCTTTCTGCCACTCATTAAGGGGGGCTGCCTGAAGGATGCATTAAAAAAGTTGTGAAAAAACAAGAGCAAGGTAAGGTACTTGCAGGTACAGTTAACATTTATCTCCCTGGGATGGCTTCCCTCCGGGAGTGGGAGTGAAACTGTCAGCCTGCAGGTAAAGAGCATTCACAGAAGGAGAGAGCGGGGAAAGGACAGCTAGGATTTGGGCAGCACACCCAAGACAGCAGCAAGACAAGCTGTAAGGGAAGAATCCTCAAGTCCAGAGGGGCACAAAAATGAAGGGGGAGATGAACCATGATCAAACTGCAAAAATCGATACACAGAAGTAGAAAGAGGGGAACAGAAAATGAAAGTGAGGGAAGTACAAAAAAGGCTGACATGGCAAGGGACAGATGCTATACACGAATGTTTGCTTATAAAACCTCTCTACAAGAGTAATTTTTAGCAGAGAGACAGGTAGGAAGAGGTTAGCAAATTGACATATGTATTATAAGAGGCTAAGGAAAAAGGACACATTCAAGTCACAACACAGAGCATGCAGACACGTATACCAGGCTGGAGATGACAGCTGTAGGCTTGGTCTTGAACAGCTCTCTGCAGTAGGACAGACATCAGCATAAGGGCTTGCAAACATCTGACCAGAATAAGAAAGCCTGTTGATGGGTTTAGTTAGAAACAGCTTTGTATGTATTGAAGCCTTTGAAAATAATTTCCCTCACTGCAGTGCCCTAAATCTCACGTCAGCTTTCTGTGGTTAGATACTGTAGCAGCGCATCAATGGCAAAGCAGCTTGCACACACATTTTCTGGTGTGATGGACACAAAAGTGATTTTTTATAGGGTGACGTACGCTTGGCCGGACAGCACTTCTGGTGAGCAGTATTCAATTGTCCCACAGAAGGTGTAGAACAGCTTGCCGGGTTCCAGGTAGGCAGCCGAACCAAAGTCCACTAATTTAACTGTGAAATCTTCTGCAATGACAATGTTTTCATCCTTGATATCTCTGTGAAGGATGTTCCTACAGTGGAGATACCCAACAGCTGACACAATCTGAAAGAGGAGTGGAGAACGAGGTGTTAATTCAAAGATGTCCTGGATAACACACATGGCACCAGGGAGTTACAACAGCCATAATTTAAGTTGCTTTGACACTGTATTAACAAGATGCAGATCCCAATTTTGGTAACTGCACACAAATTCAGGAATGCCTGTCTGCATTGCTGCAGCGGGTATTACAATGCTCTCGACAGAGAGAATTAGAAAAGCAATTGCTTGCTTTCCTCTCACAGATGTGCAGGAAGATGGCGTGGTGTGCTTTGGTTAGAAGCATCAGAGCTTATTGTTACAATGCTGCAGGTTACTTTATTTTTATCCCAGCTTCATCTGGATGGCCCTTTGATTCCTCCAAAAGGATGTTACTGCGTGCCTCCAATGCTGCAGGATGACAAAGCACTTAAGAGTGAAGTTTGGTATAAATAATATACTCACTCCATTTTTCTTGCTGCACGATTCATGCTACAGTGCTATAATTAAGAACAGCATCAGAATTATATCACCTTGGAGACAATCTCGATCCCTACCACAATATATCTGAGCAAGAA